CCCCCCCCCATCCCATCCCATCACTGTCCGACGCGCCTTCCCGAACACTCTATGCAGCGAGTCTCAGAAGCTGCAGGTCCAGCCAAACCAGGACGAGCGTGAGGTGTGCATGAACATCCATGGACAGGCACCGCGCTCGATGTTGTACGAGGTTGCTTGTTACTGTCGTGCTCCGCGTGCAACTGTACCCTCGAAACATACTGTAAAACTACCTACCTACCTACCTACCTGACCTGAGGGGTTCGCCATCGCACGAGACAGAGGTGGCATTGCGTGCTCCTGCTGGACGTGCTTATACTAGCGACATAGGCCACGATTGGCTTGTGACAGACTAGTGGAGCCCCAACATGCCGCAGCGCTTCCCGTTCGCCAGTCATACCAACGACCATGCTGCTTTGCCAGAAATGGGCTCCGAAGATCTTGTCCAGCCCAAGCGTTTACGACGCTCATCGTTGTTGAGAAAGCCATTGAGCTTGTGGAGGAAGCATCACGCTGACAGCACCGACGAAGCCCTTCCAGAGACTGCTCCCGCCGAGCTGGAGGCTGATGGAGGTGGCACTCAGTGGGAAGAACCAGAGCAACGGAGACCTAGCTTGCCTGATGAGGTGCTGCCGATATGCAAGAGGGCGATACCCTCTTTGCCTCGGCCTCAGACGTTCCGTAGGCAGGAATCTGAGAGGCGAGAAAGACTGCTGGAGGTTGAGCCAACAACAAAAGAGCGCCGGGCACGGAGTGAGGACATGCGCCGGACTAGTGCTGCCAGTCGTCGTGCACTTTCACCCACGCCGCTTCCAGTCTCACGTTTCTCAGCACTAGACATTCCAGAGTTCAGGCAGGAAGGGAATCTATCACCAGCATCAGGTGCAGCTGCTGATCTACACGATCCTGATACAGCTCACAATCCAAGCAACATCCCCGCCTCCCGAATCCCGGAGGTCGATACTGACCACAGACCTGCCGTCGACGACGATCGGCCGCCTCAAGGTGACAGCAGTGACCAAGCAACCTGGGCAGAAGAGTACGATCGTCGCTGGATTCTCAACTTGAGCATGCAGTTTCGAGATAAGTCGAACCGCGAGAAATTCTTTGTCACATATGCGGAAACGTCAACGCAGTGGCGACGATTGACAGTGTCCTTGGATTATCGAGATGCTCCCCCAAATTCATTGGAAGCAGACTTGAGTATCCTCCATTACCAGCGCGACAAGAGCTTACGAATTTACGAGGCCATCCGTGATTCATTGCCAGACATTCAGTATTATGACACTGTCACTAATTTGAAGCTGGAAACAACAGCAGACGATGGCCAGCTCCACGTTCATGTGCGGGAAGATGCCAACGAAATAGTCAATTGGCCTAACATATCTCTTTTTGACCACATTCAATGTCCACGATTCAACGAGACTTCATTGGAGTTTGACTCGCATCTTTCTGGTTTTGTCTACAAGGTCCGCCTGAATGGGCGCGTCGTGATCAAGAAGGAGATCCCTGGACCCGACACAGTGGATGAGTTTCTGTACGAAGTCAACGCTCTGGACTCGTTGCTGGACAGCAAGCATGTCGTCCAACTTGAAGGTCTGGTGACTGACGACCGAGGCGAGCTTGTCAAAGGTCTCCTCATCTCTTACGCCGGGCAGGGAGCACTTGTGGATATGATCTATGATCTCCGCGGTACCACGGCTCTACCATGGCATAGACGCGAGAAGTGGGCACATCAGATCGTCGGTGGGCTGGCGGACATTCACGAAGCTGGTTTTGTGCAGGGGGACTTCACTCTGTCAAACATTGTGATTGACGAAGACGACAATGCACAGATCATCGATATCAATCGAAGGGGCTGTCCTGTGGGATGGGAGCCCCCCGAGCTCAACAAGCTGATCGATAGTGGACAGCGTGTCAGCATGTCGATTGGAGTCAAGACTGATCTCTTCCAGCTAGGTATGGTGCTATGGGCGCTTGCGGAAGAGGTAGACGAGCCAGAGAGGGTGCAGCGACCATTTCCGGCAATCGTTGACGAGGTTCCGCATTACTTTCGTGATATTGTCGACATGTGTCTGAGCGAGAGGCCACAAGGCCGGAAAGGTGCCGTGTACCTGCTCCAACGATTTCCCACATCTGCAGGACAGCCACCATCACGGAGTGCATCCAAGGACTATGAGCTGAACTCGCCGCTCTCAGACCGAAGCTTGTCCTCATCAGCACATCGATCTGCGAAGAAGTACATTGACCCGGACATGGCTGTCACTATCGACGATGTCAAGGAGGGCCGAAGGCTCGACACCAACGATTACTCGTCACTATTCCACGATGCGGTGACATACATGCAACCTGACTCTAACCCCGCTTCTATGTACGCCTTTGAGTCAGAAGGATCGTGTGTGGTAGGACGACGGCGCCGTACGCACAGTCGAGGTCGATCCCCAGTGTCTAGCAGACGTCGGAGAAGCTCGCCGTACGGCAGGACTGCATCAAGCGCGACTTCATACGAGGCATCACTACCACACAGGAGGCTCTCCCGCTATGGCGATGATTGTAGTGGTAGCGATGGCGAACAGCAACACGGATGCAAAGACCCAGACTGGGGGACTTATGGAGCAGCAGAACCACGAGAGTTTGAACACATGTCGCCTATGGCTCGCAGAATAGCGGAGATGCAGATGGGGGAAGCTTCCCGGGCTACAGGTCTACTTCACATGGACTCTGGCTTTGACGAGGTCATGGAAGATCATGAATTGGGCATGTCCGATGTGACAGAGAGGAAAGATGAGCCAGCTACACCTCGTCCAAGTTCGATACAGGATGCTCCCACTCCAGGGCCATACTATACACCTGGTGCAACTCCCACGAGCCTGGCTCATGGAAAAGACGATGAGAGAATAATCGTCGCCCTCGACAGTGAGAATTCGCATGAGAACGATGGGCGGGACACACGCACGTAATGATTGACGAAAGGAACGATGCGCAAGTGTCGGCATTACAGGACGGTCACAGGGCGTTTGCAAGGAAGATAGCATTGATACCTAGCGTTGGAATGACATTTCGAGTCTGTATCTTTGTAGCATAGTGGACAGTGTGAAATAGGTATGAGACCAGCATACATGTACCTATATCGAGTAAGCACCCCGGATGGGTGCCTGAGGCACATGACTACCGATAAAGCACTTATCGCGCTCGCTCATATCCCCCTCCGAAAAGTTCCTTTCTCTCCAACCTCAACTCCACCTCCAAACTCAGCCAAATTACCTCACCTTCGCCGAACATGTCGCTCCCCGCCTGGAAAACCGAACTCATCGAAAAGGCCCTCCACGCCGACATTCTCAAATTCGGTTCCTTCAAGCTCAAATCCGGCCGCACGAGTCCTTACTTCATCAACTGCGGCCTCTTCTCCAAATTCGGCCTCAGCCGCGCCTTCAACAACGCATACGCCCGCACCATCCACGCCCACGCCCTCGCCCACCCGGACACTTTCGACTTCGACATCATCTTCGGTCCTGCATACAAAGGGATTCCCATCGCGGGCATCACGGGGAACGAATTGAGTCATTTGGATGCAGAGCGGTGGGATGGGAAAGGGTACGCATTCAATCGGAAAGAGGCAAAGGATCATGGTGAGGGTGGCATGATTGTTGGGGAGGCGCTGAAGGGGAAGAAAGTGATTATTATTGATGATGTTATTACGGCGGGCACGGCGATAAGAGAGGCCATTGAAATTATCAAGGCGCAAGGGGGCGAGTTGGTGGGGATTGTGGTTGCGGTGGATCGGCAGGAGAGGACGCCGAGTGCGGCGGAGAGGGAAGGGAAGAGCGTTGTTGCTGGTGGTGATGATGGAAGTGAGAGTAAGAGTAGTGCGATTGGGGAGGTGAGGAGGGAGACTGGCGTGCCGGTTTTGGCGGTGCTGACATTGGAAGATATTATTGCTGGAGCGGAGAAGTTGGGTATGGGAGAGGAGGTGAAGAAGATGGAGGAGTACAGGAGGCAGTATGGAGCTGCTGATTGAATTGAATGAATTGGCGCGCCACGCAATATCGACTCAGGTCGATGGGTAAATCATCTCAAATGGCCGGGAAATTTCATTGTTCGAGTTTCTCCAAGGACAGGAAGCAAAAACGAAAAGAATCTTACCGGCAACCTCTTTTTCTCTCTGCGCGATAAAGTCATGGTCTACGCGGTCCCGAGCGCAGGGCTAGCCAGATCTACAGAAGTTCAACTAAGATTCCGAAAGGAAAAAAAGGAAAGGAAAAAAAAAGAAACATGAAGAAAAAGATAAAAAAGAAACCTGACTACGAGCAATCGCACGCACGTCATACTAGCGTCTTGTATCTTATCGTATTCCGAGAAATTTATGGGTCGAGTCGTAACACTTGGAGTAAAGACGGCGAGCAGCGACAACAAGGGGCGAAGGTCATAGATGCAGACGCACGAAGTTGTTGAAAATGATTGATCAAGACTAAGACCAAGACTTCGCTCTGCATCTTCTTCTCGCGAACCCCGACTGCCACAATGCATTCATCCCGCCCTTCAGCCTGGAACCATACTCTTCGACTGCACCGGATACTGGTGCTCCACGTCGGCGTCCTGTGTCGAAGAGACCTTGCTCATGCACCTCTCTGTAGCCAGCCAGCAGGGCTCAGAGCGGCCTTGCAACCAGCCTGCGACCACCCTCACAAATACAAGACTCCACGCTTGCTGTTCCTCTTACACTGTGGTTCATCTGCCTCGTCCCCGCCGCATTCCTTCCGCTTTTCCGGATCCTTCACCCCTGAGCAATCTGCGGTGCAGCAGCATCCCCCCGTGCGGCCATTATCTTGGTATCCATCCTTAACCACAGCTTCTGGATAATTCTCTGCGTAGACTGCCACGCAGACTTTCTTGCAATTGTCATCCGAAGAGACTGTGCAGTCGCAAAATGGCCCGTTTGAAGTTTGTTTGCACGTGGCCGTGATATCGTTTTCGAAGTCTTTGTAGACACTGTCTTTGCACGGCTGTAGGCAGAAATCATCGCTGGCGCACTGGTAGACGATACAGGGTTAGCAAGGAACAAGAAAAAGTGCCAAACTCGAAGAGAAGAAAGGGGGAAAAAAGGCACCCCGAACTCCTCTTCTGTGCTGCTGTGTCGCGCGACGGGAAAAACTTACTGGGAGGGCAGGGTCAAGCAACTCCGCCGTGACGAGACCCAGGCCGAAAGCGGCCAAGGAGAAGACGTAACGTGAGAGAAGCATGATAGGTATGTAGTGTTGCGAGATGCAGGGCTTCAAACTATGTCGACGTGGCTGCTGTAATAAATGTAGTAAATGTGTCGTCTGCTAAGGTGGGTCACCGTGGGTGGCTATGATACCGAGTAAGGCAAAGACAAAGAATAAATAGAAAAAAGAGCATCAACCAGGTCTTCGCGTGGTCTCGTGGCTATGATATATAGTGTCTCATTCCCACACCCCAGTTGACCGTAGTTACTAGGTAGTCACTAGTTCAATCTATGGCACTGGTGTATGAGTTGGTATATGCTTGTGTCCTTATTCCCCTCCCTCTCTCTCTCTTCCACCCCCTCCCCTCTCTCTCCCTCTCTCTCTCTCTCTTTGCCTGTACTGTATATGTTCTCGATCAACTCCATACAGGACAACCGTAGTCCGAACGAAATGAAACGACCAGGTCAAGTCACCCACCCACCAGGGAAGTGCCCCGACCCCGACCCCGACCCCAATCCCCTCTCTCTCTCGAGTCTCCAGGCTCTCTCTCTCCCCCAAATTAACCCGTAGAAATCTTGTTTTGTACTCTTGTACTGTTGTTGCAGAATTAAAGTTTCCTAGGGAGGGGGCCGAAAATCTCCCCTGGAAAACACTACCGCTGGAAATCTGGATTACCTGGGTTGTGCGGATACGGTACACATACAGTACAGTACAGGAGTAGTTCTTTACATGTATCTGTACGCCAGTTGCGGTTGCTAGGAGGGACCGCGGCCGCTTGGTGATCTTTTTGCTGCTTCATGTCACGAGAAGGATACGGGGAGCTTTATTGGTAGGGGCCTGCTAACCCCGTCGCGAGAGAGAGAGAGAGAGAGAGAGAGAGAGAGAGACAGAGAGGGGGGCATTTTCTCATTTCATTTCTTACATAAACGTATACAGTATGTGTTGGTGTCTCGCATCTAGTATCCTGAATAGGATGTAGTAGTTCTATCAAGCTCGGTTAGGATCAGCTGCTTAGTAGAACAGATTAGGATTTCCTTGTCTTTTTTTTTTCCTCTTCTCTTTCGCTTTCGCTGTCCCTTTTCTTTCTCCTCGGACTTAAGTTGGGAGTGAGTTGGTATGTGAGACCTTACTAAGCACTAGTCTTTTCTACCTAGTTGTATACCTAAGTGTACTCTCGGACTCGGAGGTAACTGAGTGCCTTAGTGTGTTATGTCCCTTTCTCTCTTCTCTCTTGTAGTTTGTATCGTAGAAGTCAACTTCGAATCTTCGATGCGAATCATCCGAGTTTAGTTTATACCTTTATATATTTATATATCAAGAATACTCAATAAACTCAATCATCGCAACAATTTTATTAGGAAGAAAATCGAAAAACAAATGCTCTCTCTTCCTCTCTCTGCCCGTCTCTCTCTCTTTCCTCTTTAAGAAAAAAAAAATTATCCCCTAGCCTACCCTAGCCTACCCAAAACGAACTCGTACTATATACGCGACGTACCTAGGATAGATACCCTCCCTCCTCCCCTAGCCCCCCGAAACAATCGACGTTAGGGATATAAGTTTTTCTTCTCTACCTAGGTATTATCAAAAAAAAAATCTTTTCTTTTTTTCCAAGCGAACTAGTCAAGCTAGACTCTAGTATTCGTACTTTTTATTCTCTTTCTTCCAAGCGAACTTAAAATGAACTCGACTACCCTAGGAAGGATAAAGGTAGGAGGGATATGCCGATTTGGATCCTTCGGTCTCTCTCTCTCTCCGCGGGAGGAGGTAGTGAGTAAGAACCTTCTTTTTTTAAAGTTTGATGAGAGTCTTTCTTCTCTTGGTCGAGACGACTCTTGAGTCTTTCATCAGCAGACTGGCAACAGGTACATACACTCTAGGAGGTATGTATGTACCTATGTACACATGTACTCGACGATTTTGGATAGAGATCGGGAGATGTTCATGCAGTGATGTGATGGATTGGGATTATGTATCGCCCCGGGGCCGGGATGGGGAAAAAAGAAGAAACAAAGTACATGAACCTAGGTACCTTGTGATTACTACCAACAACAACAACGTTACAAAAGCAACTACTACATGTGGTAAGAAGTTGGTGATTATGCAGTTGGTTCATTTCAGGTGGTGATTGATTGATTTTTCATCTCTCGCGCGTGACTACTGTACCTGACCTACCTGTACCTATCTGGACACTTGCGAGAAGGAAGAAGAAAGAAGTAGAAGAAGAGGAGGTGAAACATCATCAACAAGGACAGACATCACTACGACTTCTTTTGTGCAATGCTTCGGCGAGATTTTTTTGGGGACTGGATGAGAACTGAACTAACGACTAACCTCTGTTGATTACCGTATACCGGGTTTGGATGGTGATGAGCATGACGACAAACGACACATTGCCGAGATGCTAAAAGAATACCTAGAAATCATGTCACATGGATGCCCGCTCCGAAGTGTACTAATTAGCAGCGGTGCACACCACGGTGGTGCGCTCTGCTTACAACGAATGCAGAACTGATGTGATTACTCCGGCTGGAAATGGTATTGCATCGACACAACCAAGTAGTACTCTGTCTTGTTGTACACTTCTCCTCTCTCTTCTCTCCTCTCTCCCCCTTTCCTTCTTTCTCATTGCCGGTCGTCTACACAGATAGGACATTTGTACATCTCCCTATGCCCCAGCCTCCCCTCGCGAAATTCCCCATCTAGACAGACCCGATGGAACACATGGCGACAAGCAAATACCACCAAACTCAACTTCCTTCCTTCCTCTTCATCCCCACCACTGGGCGCAATTCCAGGCGTGCTCGGAACAGACATTTTCCCCTTTCCTCGAGAAAGTCGTCTCGCCTGTTCCCCTCCACCCCTCTCCATCATCCTTCTCACTTTCCCTAATTCCCGTTCTTGTTCCTTGAGTATCCACTCCTCCCAAACTACCTTCTCACCGATCCCCGGTCCCCAGGCGCGTCTTTTGCAATGTTCGCAGACTTGAGATCGTGGACGCCAGCCGCGTTGGCGAAGTTGGTGAACTTCTTGGATGTCTGTGAAGACATCTGAATTGAGTAGACCGTGCGCGAGCTCGAGAACGGATTGCTCAAAGGTATAGGCGGAGAAGATGTCGGCGAGCACGGCGCGGAGCTCGGAGAGTGAAGGGGCTGATTTGGAGGCGCGCGTGAGGAAGGCGCGGAGGATACGGAGAAAGCTGAGGCGGTTAGGTGGTTGCTTGTTCGGTGAGCCACTGGACAATGCTAATGTTGGTGATGATGATGGTGTGGACTTTGTGTTGGGTGCTGCAGTGGCTGCTAGCAGAGCAGTGAACACTTGCTGGACATTGGAGCGTAAGGATGATGCAAGCTTATTCGTGTCGAAGGAGTCTTGATCGTTCCCGAGAGGATGTGCTTCGTAGTGTGTGGCAGATGCGCCGACATTCTGGCTGACTTGCACAATGACATCAATCAGATTGAGCCAGAGGTACTCGTCCATGTCCAAGTCGTTCTCACTTATGTCTGAGGCAAGGCTCGTTGGCGCACGTGGTATCCGTTCTGTTATTGCGCTCTGTCCTTGACATAGCCAAATACCAACCTTGGTGTACTTCTCAAGATCCTCCACCAGTTCGTCGGATGTACCTGGCGAAGCAGTGATATCTGGATTCGTGGTCGCGGCGTGCAGCAGGCTCGCCAAAGCATGCTGCAAGCTCTGCATGTGTGATACGAGACGATCCATGGCATCTCTGGCAAGGCCATCTCGTGCTAGTATGGCTACTGCTGCATCAATGACGCCGCCATTCTCCATCGCCGGTAGGACCTGCTCCAGACGTAGATCGCTCGTGGGCAAAGTTTTGATGTAGTCCGCAACATGAAGAGGCTCGTGTCTGCACATCAGCCGAACATATTGCTCCACGAAGGCTGTATGTTTGGTCTGCGGCAACGGCGATATTGATGCCTGTTGGTCTCGCAGCAGTGCTGGCTCTAACAACGCTCGCAAGAACATGAATTGCTGGTGTGAATCAGACAACGCATCTACACTCGACTGTAACAAGTCTGATGCACATAATGCCAATGTGCGAGCTGTTGCCACGACATCAATGTTTGCGAGATCTTGAATGTGCTTGATCATGACTTCCTTGATAGCTTCGCTCTGCTTCGATGTCAGGCCTGGGGCCTCAAGTAGACAAAATGTGATACAATCAAACACCTTGTCTTTGTCTTCAGGATCCTCGAAAAATGTCAACAATAGGTCCGTAAGCATCCGCTCTCCACGATATACTGTCTTGAGCACTCGGTAGAATCCGGCCTGCTGTAGTGCCCGAATGAGCGCTGCAATGTCCGAAGGATGATAGACAGATAGCAGGTATTCCACGCTGAGCTGACAGTCTTCTCGGAGATTCTCAAGAGGAGGATGACAAAGTCTTTGCAGAATGCCACTGAGCAGAGTTCCTGTCAAGATAAGCTGACCAGGATACTTCGACATGCTACGTGCAACAAACATGTCGAGATAGATGACCTGCGGTGGTGCAAAGTCACCCTGTCGCATCACATCCAGCATAATCTCAATGATCTGCTGTCTGCCCTTTTTCTTGCCAGATATAACGCCATTGTATGAATTACCGCCGTTCACGCCATTTTCCTCTTCTGGTTCATTGACGAAGGGGTCTTCAAATGCTTCATTCAGCATGCTCATGAAGCTCGCTGCATCGAACTGAAGCAAAAGGTCAAGATAGGGAAATGCGGGCTCCTCGGATATGTCCTGGGTGGTATGGAAGACCATTTTCCCTCCCGGAGGCCACGCAAGAGCCGTACCAGAGAACAGGTAGTCATAAAGGTCCGTCCTGGCTCGATACGATTCATCGTCATCCATGAACTCGCCACCTGGGTACCACCTTCCAGTCAGAGAGTACGCCAGGTATGGGAAGATCTTCATCGCTGATTCGAAGAATGGGTTCTCAGCGACAATCTCATCTTCGTCACCCTCTTGTATCATTCGGACTAGCGTTAGCAGATCTACCAGTGGAGTCACAAAATCCCGTAGAGCGCGCGTCCATATATGGATTAGGGCATCGTATAAGCTATGCTGTCGACAAAGTACAGTGACTTGATCGAGGTCGAAGGAGTGGGGATCAAGCCTGATAAGTAGCTCTTCCAGTCTTGCGGCTTCATTCTCGCCGATGAAATGTGCAACAGCAGCAGTGACGACTGCAGGAGGAAGTGTTGTGAGCTCACCTTCGAGTACATATGGCTCGAGGGTGGATATGAAAACACCCTCTTCGTCAGCATCCTCGAATGTGTCAAACACAGTAGAGCACAGATAGTTTAGCTCCTTCATGGTTATGCATGCCTCGAAGCATACTTCTGCGAGCTCTTTCAACCTTATATCCCTTTCCTCGTCCTGCTGCGCAAACGTATAGCTCAGTGACGCAGATATCATTGCTAGATTGCGCTCTCGGACGACTTCGTGTCGTGCGGCGTCTGCGTCGGGGAGACCGATAACAACGTTGTTTGCACTTCCGGAATAGTACTCTGTTGCAAGTCGGATTGCGCTGATATGATCGCCATTCTCCATCAAAGCCATCAAGCGGTCAGCCCAGTTCGACAGCGTTCCGACAGTAAGGTCATTAAACCCAAGTAGAAAGGTCCTGCCCTTGTAAGCTTTGTAGCTCATGTAGAAAGCGTCCGCGATCACGCCGTGTAGTGACGGGTCGTCCGAGTCCAGTCTCTCAACAACACTTTGAAGCTGATGTGAAAAGAGATCTTGGTGATAGATGTGCCTATGCAGGAGATCGATAGAATCGGTGACCTGCAAAGTGCCATCTTTTATGATCAAGAGTCGTTGACTGATGGTCAAAACGCCTAGAACAGAACGGCTCAGCCATTGTACGGCGACAATGGCCTCGTCGGCACGCCATCTGCTTCGTGCATTAAACTCGAGCGTTGGTACTTTCTGCACGTCACCGGCTTGAGCTTCCATCACTTTGACGTCCAGAACTGTCAGCACATTAGACCAACAATATACTAACTTGGTCTCCGAGCTGCCTTTTTCCACATCTGCATGGGTGCTTTTGAGTTTGACGGCAGGGAACCACGCTAGACAGCCACTGAGCGTGCTGTGGGGCGTCACGTCTTTGGGTCGCGGAGATTTGTGCTGGGTCTGAGCAATGGGAGTGGTGGACACGATGACTAGTAGGTAAGGGGTGAGGAGCGCAGTAAGACCCATGGCATCTGTGGCCTTCTCGACGTTGCCCAGGGGGAGAGGTGAGAAGGCAAGCACGGAGCTTGGCTTTCGTGCTCTTTCAGTTTGAGGGTTGGCCGAAGGATAGCGACCAAGTAGTCGGGTTGTGTTGATTGATCTGGCAACAGGGCCAAGTCCTCGCGTGGCAAGGTGTGAGAATGCCATGCCGCCTGCGTCTGCCGAGACGAGTGCAGTATGTCGAGTGCCCAGGAAGCCGACATGGAGAATAGCGCAGTTCTCTAGATGGCCATCGGGGTGGGTACGTTTTTCTAGTACGCTCCTGTCCAAGGGCGGTATGTGCAAGAATGGGCGAGAGGGCCTGCTCACTTCCCATGTGAAAATGTAGCCATTTGCGTGACCACTGGCTATTGTCGAATAATCTGCAGCTATCGCAATCGAGGTGACCGAACCACACTCTGTCGCCTTTGTTCCAGGTCCAATGATGATCTTCAAAGTCTGGTGATAGTCGAAGCCTAGCACCAAACCCTTGGAGGTACCAATGGCTATGAGAGCGGAAACTGCCATGCATGTGGGCCGTCCAAAGCTGCGTTTGCCACTTTCTGAGAATGCCTGTCCAGTGAGCTTTCGTAGCTTCGTCCATCGTACCACGTCCCAGGGTACTTGAGGCGAGTCAGTAGCAGATCCACCTGCTTCAGATGACATTCCCGACAGTTGCGAAGAGATAGATATTTGGCGAGAGTGGGGACTTAGGAATGCTGGTGATTGAGCTCGAGACGACCCAGGCGACGCTGATAGACGGCTCTCGAATCGCCGTTCGAACGGTTGCAGTGCCCCTGAAGGCGTACGCATGATATTCTTACGTTCGGACACTCGTCGAGGTAGCGGAGAGGCATCTCTGCCGGGTGACGAGAGGAGGGAGCCAGCTCGTGAAGGCGTATCGTCCGGTATCGATCCAGAGTCCAAAGCACTCCCCACAGGACTTCTTTGTGCTATGGGCGTGTTGGGCCCTACATCTGCGCTCCCCTCATCAACACTGTCGTTCTGGCCACGATCTAATTGTGCAAAATCTTGATCTGCTCCCTCTTCTGTAGACTCTCCGACATCACCACTCTCCTGGCCCGCTGCATCTGCCTCGGGCAGCACGCCGTCCTCTGCACCGAGCACATCCTCATGAGGCGCAGGCTCCTCGAAGTCTCCATATTCCACCGTCTGTGTATCTGAGTCCTCGCCGGCCATTCCGTCTTCTCCGTTCTGCTCATTTTCCCCCGCTTCCTCCTCTTCATCCTCCTCCTCCACCTCCTCCACCTCCTCCACCTCCTTATCCTCCTCTATCCGCCCTTCAGCATCTCTGACAGATTCGTCCGCCTCCACATCCTCATTAGTGCCGCCTTCGTGGGCGTCTCCAGTCACGGAGCTCATCGGTTTCTGCGTTGAGCGCGCATCTCTCTGTCGCTCTCTTTCCTCCAATTTACGCTGTCATTGGGAGCTGTTTCGTCGGCACAGAAGGCTGGCTGCTGCAGAGGGAAGATTCGAGCGTACGTGCTTAGTCGATCTGGTGATAATTTTGAGGGCATAGGATGTGGTCCCTCAAGTGCTGGATGGACGCTGAAACGCTGCGAAGATGTAGTCGCGTGTGTCGTCAATGTGGCACCGATGAGTTGGACCTAGAGCTACCTACGGGAGAAGGTCCGCAAGGCGAGCTTCATCGTCACTTTCACCACCAATATAATAACATCGTGAGAACAACATCATCACCTCGCCACAATGTCGTCGGACTTCGCACCTGACCTACCACCACACTTACTGGCCAAGCGGAAAAGACGGCAAGAGGAAGACGCAAGAGATGATGTCGCCACAGCCTCCGGCGCAAAACGAGCTGCCAGTCCAGATGAACCAGAAAAGCGAAGAAAGATAGGACCTGCTCTGCCCGTCCCACAAGACTCCCCTCCAGCAGGCGAAACGAAATCACGCAAAGTAGCAGGACCTGCACCACCTCCAGCACCCTTGGATGAACGACCACCAGAGCCACTTGCACCCCAAGCAGATGACGACGATGATAGTAGCGATGATGATGATGGTTTTGGGCCAGCATTACCCAGTGCTGCTACTGCTACATCTACATTTGCAAATAACAAGGATGACGACGACGACCAAAACGAGGAACCAGAGGTCAAGGTCAAAAGAGATGAATGGATGATGATGCCACCCAAGCAAGACGATCTCGCAGCTCGACTGGATCCTCTCAAAGCACGCCCAACCAAATTCGCTGGTAAAGGAGCCAGTAAAGGCGACACGGACAATTCAACGTGGCACGAGACTCCGGAGCAGAAGCAGAAACGATTGCAAGATGAAATGATGGGAATCAGCAGCAAACCTGCTGGTGGGATCGCACGAGTAGAGCCAGGGAAAAGTGCAAAGGCGAAGAAAGATGAGGTCGCTCATCGATTGGTCAATGTGAGATCCCTCTCTTTTCTTGTCACGAACCAAAGGATCTATGTATTATTGTGGGACGGTGTAAGCTAATACGATATGTCGTGCAGGAGCAACGGGGTCCATCCCTCATGGAACAGCATGCAAAGACCAAAGGCCCTGAAGCAGTCGACGACGACCCGAGTAAGCGCGCTTTCGATCGCGAGAAGGACATGGGCACGGGTGGCAGAATCTCGTCGTCGCAGAAGAAGCAAATGCTCGACAAAGCCGCGGGGTTTGCTGGAAAATTCGCCGGAGGTTCGTATTTGTAGCAGCCTAGCAACTATGTACATTTACTTGTACCTAGCATAGGTGCGAGTAGACCGGACAATGACGTGATAACAGAGACATTATTCTCTTTGCACTTGCATCTCGTTCACGCCGACATGTCTAGATCTCCAAGCCGTCCGCTCCGAAGCCGACGCCCTCCTACTCAACCTGGAAAGAACGGAGCCAGAGCGTGGCGAACATGGCCCAAGCTGATGCTCGATGTGAGCCTGGCGAGGACAGAGTGCAGAAGAGGATCGAAGGCATGTGGCCTGAGAACTTAGTTACCAACACCATGATGTGAGAGTGCCTCGACCTCGGAGTACCCCGTGACAACCAGATAGGATGCTGAGGCGATATCGCAGCATTCGAGAGGTTCCCGACGGACCGCCGAGGCTCTTGTTGGTTTTCTGCTGGCGGTAAGGATGATCGGCGGGTTGGTTAAGGGTGCCGCACTACTATGAGGTAGGGTACATTAGCTGGCTAAGCATATCCCGACCGAGACATTGGCAGGCGCTCGGCGTATGTGTGTACGCTGAACGGTAGGAAGTACCTATCTAAAAACCCTAGATCATGCGTAGAAGCAGCGCGTACTACCACGTCCTAGTATACATCGTTGTAGTTGAGTACCGTTTACTAGCCAGACCTCGATAGGAAGCTGTCTGTAGACCCCAGCGTGGCCTACTGTCCCATCCATGTGCCGTACCGTACGAAAGACTCTAAGTATGGTATGGCTTATTGCTGTTGTGCAGCCCCAATGCGGCAATGCCCTGAGACATATGACAGACACCGGTGTACCCTACTATTCTGTCTCACGCCAACAACACCCACCGCCTTGTCATACAATCATTGTGGTGCGTACATGCGTGCGTGTGTGCGTGCGTGTGTGCGTATATGCGTGTGTGCGTGTGTGCGTGCGAGCCTGCTGGGCCATGCAGCAGCTCCAAAGGTAGCCTGTCCTGCGTCCTCGTGTAAGTCGCGAAGACTACCGCTGCAGTGCTGTCACATCGTGTTTTGGGTTCGTGTTCTGCAGATGTGCATGACATGCTGCACGACATCATGGCGCATGTCGATGCCCGAAGCCATCTGCTTGAACGCTGCAGAATGTAGTACTTGGTTGAGCGGCGGGTGTGGTGTCTGCTGTCGTTGATGGCACTACATTGAGACATGGAAGGAAGCAGTGAGGCAGTGTGCGCCTAGATCTATGTACCTGCTCGAGCTAAACCGCTTGGAGGTTGAAGCCATTCTACAGCCCTTTCCGCGCTCGCTCTCGCTCGACGACGGAGAACTGTTGAACCACACCATCGTGTTTTTTTATCTCCACTCGTACACACGAATGCATACCTGTACCTCTGAACCTTCGCCCGCCGCCGCATCGACGACATCGCCGCAGTAGTCGTCCACCCGCCGCTACTGGTTGGTTGTTGCCTGCCCAACCTACTGCTCTCACCTGACGCATCCGGGCATCTTATCGATCTCTCCCTACCGAAGCTCCATCGAACTCGCAGACCTGCGACCAGAGCTCGCGACAAGTTGACCTGGTTAGACAGAAGGGGATTGCGCACCACTTGCATGCAGTAGTCTGCATTGATCAGCACCGTAGGACATCCCAGCGCTTAGTGACGGCCGAGGGCTTGTTGATTGTACCATCCAACGTCCTGCGGGCATCGGCTCTGGCCTGAGGAGGAAGGAGGATTCAAGATAGACACCACGACACCAGCAATGGCCATGGCGAGAGCTGTGGATCAGCTGTGGAAGAGACAGAACACCAACAGCGATGCCGGTGATGATAATGATGATGACAATCTTCTGTGGCCCGATTACGGTGACCACGAGAGTTGGTGGTGGAGTGATGTATGTGATTGCACTTCAGGGGAGACAGATGACTATACAGCTGACAGCACACCAATGTAGACTGGCATGGCCGTTCGGTACGCCGTGATCTGCGTCATCTTCGCTGCCATTCTCCTCTACTTCCTCGGAGGCTATTGGCACGCCCGTCATCGTCTGAGCAAGGGACAACCTCCTCTCGCATACCACAGATGGATGGTGAATCGCACCGTACGCTACCAGCAACCCCAGCACCAAGCAGCACCGTACCGCCCATACCAGCACGGCCCCGATCCATATCAAGAAGGTTATGTGATGCACAGGTATGCTCCTCCGCCACCTGCGTATCATGGCGATGCTCCGCCTGCCTACGCTCCTCCCGAGGGCGCGAGTAAGGCCATGGCGGACCAAAACTATCATGCTCCGCTACCAGAAACCCGGAACGAAGGTGAAAGCAGTACTTCGTCAACAACAGCACCACTGCCACCGCGCCAGTGAGAGATTTCATGCTTCAGAATTGTAGCGTTCCAGCGCATGCATAGGCGAGTAAGGTTCAGGACACCGTGTGGGAGCTTGAAGTTCTACGGTACACAATAGATTAACAGATTGAGCATCTTTGCTAGACCGGGCAGGCGCCAAGCATAGGCATTACGGATTAAGTTTGTGCGTGTCCTGCCAATGTTTCAGACTGGAAATGGCAGGAGGTTAAGGCCAAAGGCGAGGCGACGGTTCATGTAGTCTGTACGAGTCATTGCGATGGTCAGCGCATGGTTTGCATGGTCCAACAACGTCACTACTACAGCACTACCTGTATACAGCCGCTTCGCGAGCCATTACCATGAACCTTAACTGAACGTCATGTCCTTTGTTGCAAATCATGTTCCTTGTCAACCATGCTTCACCCCATCTAAGCGAAGGGTTTTTGTGATGCCTCGTGCTTCACGTGTTTAACGGCTAATGTTTGCCTGGAAACGTCCAAGCGCTCCTGGGATGGTGCGGCCGTCTGTGACTCGTTGCCCAAAGAGGCTGATTGACCGTTGTTTGCATGTGAACGCCTCGGTCGCTCACGACTGCCGAGTTGACTTGCAAAAAAAATTGGCATTCATCGGACGCGACCGTAAAGCCAGGATAAGATTATCTTCCTAGTCTATAGTCAGGTGGAGAACTCGGCACTGCTTCGATCGTATTCGCCTGTCTGTGTGACGGACGCAGTGTCCTCTCTATGCTATAATCTAGTTTCATGTAGGTCGTCGGGTGTGGCGAGGCCGATGTGCATAATGGGAGCATCCTCTATCCCCGCGCCGTTGCATCTTATGCAGGAACGCATCGAGTAAAATGTTGGTGTAATCTGATGATATTTTTACTCGCACGACGATAACATGTGATTGACCATGTTGATCAAATTCCGGTTCTCCATGGCAGCGGCGACTCGTTCCTTATCGCCTAGTTGTTTGTTCGCTTCGTCTGCAGACGAGGACGTGCCCTCCTTGATACGCACGTCCACGCGGAAACGTGCCGGCAGCGCATTCATAAGCCTGACCTTGACACCGAGTCCAATCACTGTGGTCAAGGAACAGGCCGAAGTGGTAGGCGTAATCAGTACCTGCACGGAACTAATGCGAGATCGTGGAGAGGTTGGTGGGATGATCCTGATGTCGTCCAGGTTCACGACGCCCAGTGAGCCCAATGACAGTGGATGTTCGGGGTCAGTGATGGTGGAGATTAGGTCATAGACTTCTTGCTCGTCGATCTCCTCGCGCTCGGCCCCGTCGTCGGAGGAGGCGCTGTCTGATACACCGGAGAGCTCTTCGGGAGATGCCGTGGACGGCCCCAGCACGTCTGGATACTGCGGCACTAAGGCATCGAATATTCCTCGAGGCTTCGCCGTCGAAGGCGTAGAGCGACGGCGGCGGGACGGCAAGTCGTTGGGATTGATGATGGTCGGATTAGCGTTGTCTTTACCGGCGTCCATGGTGGGCAGTGGCGGTGGCGGTGGGTGTCGACAACAATGGAACGGGCAGGCTGGGGGTGTGTGTGTGTGGTGTGGGGGGGCAGTAATCCAGATGATGGTGACGAGCAGTCGGGAGTGGTGAGTGATGCGTGTGTTCGGGTGTATGTGTGTCTGTGTGTCTGTGTGTCTGTGCGGTGGGACACGGTGGGAGGCGGAACAAGAACACGCGCGCGCGCGCCGGGCCCGTCAGGTAGTCAGGAGTCACGTCAGAGGATCCCTGCTGGAGGCGGGCGAGAGGTATAGTGGCAGACAGTGGCAGGAAGCAGAGGCAAGAGCAGACCAGAGTCAGAGGGGCGACGGGTTTGTTTGCTGCCAAGCAGTAGGCAGAAAGTCAAAGTCGGAGTTCAGGCAGGTGCAGGGCACTATTGAGGGTAGGCGCCAGGCAGGACAGGCAGGGCAGGCAGGCGCAGGGCACAGAGCAGGCAGGCAAGAGCAGACAGGGGAGGCAGCAAGAGACAACGTCAAGAAGTGGGCCCAAAACAGCGGATGCCGAGATGCCGATCACAGGTCCAGCAGCGGGCGGGCGGGCTAGCAAACCACACCACCAAATCAATCTGCCGCTGGCTGTGCCTCTAGGAAGTACCTCCAGTAGGCAGTACCTAGGAGGCAGCTGAGTGTGTGTGTGTTGTACCTCCTATTGTGCGGTGACTTGACTTGCGTGCGACAGTGTTTCGCGCAAAAGGCGATCGCGGCTGACCTGCAGGAGCCAGGCTGGCATACCATACCTTGCGCAGCGCCAGTAGTGCAGTCGTCGGCTCCTAGCCCTAGGCACTGTACTGTACTGTACCCTTCAGTTGGTGCAGCAGTCAGGCATCGCTGTCGCCCGCCCGCCCGCCCGCCCGCCGCCTCTCTCTTCCCTCCCCCCCTCCCTCCACTCGCCCCCAACACAGGGCCACAGGCACTGGCAGGCTCAGGCAGCTCGCTCGCGCTTCCGCCACTTCGCCAGCGGAGACACACGTCAGGCTAGCGACGACAGGCCTTGCTCGGATGATCTTCTGGAAACACCCCCCCACTCCCGCCCAGGATAGAGGAGGCCTCTGCTCTCGCGCGCACGTCCATACTACCTTACGTCTGCTCCTTCCCTCCTACTGCACCTGCACTTGCGCGACCCGAGAGATGCCTCCAGCGGGTGCTGCACCTGCTTCGTCTTCTTCACCTAGCCGTGGGTCGACGGGCGTGTAGAATGCCTGTCGGCAATTCCGGACCACCGCCTACCTCTTGCCTCTTGAGCATCTCGCCCTACAACATCCCGATGCCCATGCCCCTTCCTATCCACTTTGGCGCCTTGCTCTCTCACCACGTAACACCTCCCAGAAACAGCTCCTCTCCCGGATGGAAGACACTACTACGAGTGCGCCGGCGCCGGCTGCGCACACCAAGCAGTATGTCTTCGTGGACGAATACAACCGCCACAAGCGACTCAAGGTGATGCGCGCCTGCGATGGCTGTCGGAAACGCAAGATACGCTGCGATGGAGCCCTCCAGAATGGACCGTGGCCCTGTGGCGCCTGTGTACGACTCAAATTGAAGTGTATACCACCAACACTGGATCAGGACGATGACTCTCACCCGCCGAATGGCACCACCGGCCAGCAGACGTTCCCCTTCCAGAATACCACCTTCCCCGCTACCATTCCCGTGGACTCCAAGTCCACTGGCTTACACACGGAGCCACGTATGGTGCACGACTGGTCCAACAATGTGCCCCCTGCGACTACCACGGGCGCTCTGACATCAGCTCCGTCATATCAGCTGGACTATGCTTCCAATGCATATTCGCATCAGCCCATAGCCCGACTGACCCAGCCCGGCTACCCGCAGGACAGTTACTATTCGACCACTTCTCAGTACCAGCAAGGTAGCCATGAGTCCAGCTTGTCCAGGACCTGCAGAGAGACTCCGGAGAGCTCGAGCGGTGATGCACAGGAGATTGAAGCGGGAGTTCGAGAGCTATCTTCACACATGGGCGACCTCCAGATCGACATTACTTCTGCCGCGCCTTACATCACCAGGACGCAGATGGCGCCTGATGCTCCAGCTCTCGAGGAGGCAGAAGTGGTCTTGCCAGCATCTATCATGGCGGATGCATCCATCAGGATCCCGCCCGAGATGATGCCTTCCGAAGAGCGTGCCACTTACTTTTTCAACTACTACTTCGATCATATTCATCCCTATTGTCCAGTCCTGCACCGAGCCACATTCTTGGAACAGTGGCGGTCCAACCGACACTCCATGTCGCCCCTTTTATTGGAGGCGATCTTCGCATGCGTTGCACGATATCTGGAACAGCCAGTAGAGTCGCGTAAATGGCTTGCTCTTGCAGCGAGGCATGAGGAAAGCTTCAAGGATGTACCACGTTTAGAAACGATCCAGGCTATGATTATACTGATGAAAGCTCGCGAAAGCATTTCGAAACGCGGGTATTACTATCGGTCGTGGATGGCCGTGAAATACATGACCACATGTGGAATTGACCTCCGACTAGATGTGCATCACGAACAACATCAGACGATGAACAGATGCAGCTATGACAGGATAGAGTGCATGCTGCGCACCCGCATCTGGCAGACATTATTCGTTCTCGAGATCCTCACTGGCGCACCCCTGGGCAGATCCGACTTCTCTATTGACATCGACACTGTGCAGTACACGATGCCACTTCCTACCAACGACATCGACGCATTCGAGCATCTATCTTCGCGCAGATCTACGATTCTTGCGCAAAATGTGAGAAACATCAAGCAGTCAAACATACTGTGGCAGACGATGAAACGCTACAAGAAGGACTGGGCTCTGGATCCAGCCTTTGTTCAGCACAATGAGGACTTGCCAGTTTGGGCGGAAACGTTACCGAACGACTTTCAGCTTCAATACGCGGATGATGGCAGTCCGCCCTGGCTCGGGGCCGATCACTTCAAAGCCTATGTGCATGTCTACCATCACCTCACGGTGATCATGCATCATCGACCGCAGCTACAAGCGCTCTTGGCCAAAGGAGACCCTGGTTGGAAGGCACAACTAGACATCTGCTTGTCCTCGGCATCACTCATGTGCCGCACTCAAGAGGCTCTGTATCGGGACTTTCAATTCCACGGTCTCCAATTCATGATTCGCGGTGTCAATTTCACCATTTACTGCGTGCTGACGTGCATGATGTTGCATTTGGTTTGTCCTGCTCCTTTGCTCCTGCTCATCCCGTCACTAACACAAGAAGTAGGCTGCAATCACTTGTCCAGATCCTGTACTGAACTCGCAAGCACGACTTTACTTCACAAGGCACATGCGGGTTCTGGAGCACTGCATCACGTCCGCCAATGCGGAGATGCAGGCTCAAATCAACACTCTTCGCGAAGCGTTCAGTGCCGATGTTACCCAGCCATTCGAGCTCAAGCCTACGCTCGGGCTCCGAAGTCCAACTATGGAGAATCAGCTCACACCATCGAGCACCAAATCCGATCCTGCGAGCTCACGAGTGCTCACGCAGCCTTCGTGGAGTATGGCAGAAACGGCAGTCTCGAACCCACTCGCAGTGGGCGCTGGATATGCCACAGCCTTTGACACCGCATCGCCTCATGGCATGTCTTCACGCCCGCCGATGCCTCACCACAACAGCAGTTTCGATCTCTCGCAACCATACACACCATCGAGCATGCATCATGTATCAACATCACAGGCGGGCTATGCACTCGAACCCGTGGTCAGCAACGAACAACATACACCGGTCTGGGATCCATCTGGCATTTTCAATCAGTGGAACGCTGCATTCGGTGGCGGGCCTCCTCCTCAAGCCACGCCCCCCGGTTCCACCAACATGCAGCACACCTCGGCGCCAATGATGGCAAACCAGACTTCGCCAATCAGCACACATACCATCTATGCTGGGCCGCAGTTGCCTGTCTCGGGAAACCCTACTATGCCAGATTCCACTCCTCCAGCAATGCCCATGGTCACGCCTGTGATGTGGCAAGATGCATTTACGAGTGCTTATGTCTCAGGACATGGACAGAAGCGATACAGAGAAGCGAGTGTGGACCATACAGCATACCACCAATACCCAGCAACATCCAAACGCCGGGGCTGAAGGACTGTGCAGACGCGGCTACGGAGCTTGGCACAAGGACAGAAGTGCCGCGGCCGAAGATATCACGGTGATAGGGAAGACTCCCCGCGGCAGTCTCATCACACCTGATAATCCTGATTGTCCCATCACATCTGATCCGCAAGCAGGCCAGGTGTCTTCGGACAGGCTCCGAAGCTCTTACCTCAGGCATGGTGTGATACAGGGAGTTCCCTGATTGACGGCCTTGGTACAGCGCCTAGGATGACCGAACGTCGAGAGTTGATGAAGAGCAACACACGCCCGCCGCCCGGGTCCCCCTCCGCGGGGTCGAAGACAGGGGTGCTGATGTGGCGGTCGATCGCAGATAATCTCTCGCACGATACGCGACGAGCTCCTCGTTGACATGATGACCCGTCAACAGGAAGCGTTCACTGTCGCTCCCACATTCTTCATGCCACTCGCTCGGACGAGGTAATTTGACGATAAAACGACGAGTGCAGTGTACTGTTGATACCAGACAAGTGTACAAAGGACGACAGCAGGCTAAGAATCTTGGCATGCATATACAGATACTTTAGTGCATGTACGAAAGAAAATCACGAGGGTTGATGCTTTTTGTAGCACTGGCATTTTATTATAGAACTGGCAGAGTTGCCACCGTGAAAACGACCGAGGCAAATTGCCGAACGATTCCATTATCGCAATCAAGGACTATGAAAAAAAGAAAGAAAAAAAAATCCCTCATCATTGCTCATTTGCTCCCTTCTCACGACATCACGCGTGCGAACGATTGTATGTCAAACAGATTATCAGCGCCCGGAGTGTACTATTAGACCTCTTTCGCTGTGTGGAACCCTTTCGCTGTGTGGAAAAACTCGTGCTGTACAACATGCCGCTTGAGCTACTGCTAGACCAGGTGGGCAACGTAGGTACGAAAATCCCTTGGTTCACTATATATATCTTGGCATAACATAATTCTGCTCTGTACCTGTCAGTGTTGGGTCGGTAGGTGTATACCTACATACTACATGTAGGTGATGTACTACCTTGAGGGTTCACAAATTTACTGTCTATCTGAGCGAGAGAGAGAGAGAGAGAGAGAGAGAGAGAGGGAGAGAGAGAGAGAGTGTGTGTGTGTGTGTGTATGTGTATATGGTGTAATTCGTTGCAGAGCTAGATCTATCCATCTACATCTATCTATATAGTAAAAAGAGTAGTAGGTAGTAACAACAAAAGGGTATCATCCATCTTTGGGCAAAATCCGCCACCGTCGCCGCCGCCATGGGCATCTCTAGATATTCATTACATTTTTCTTTTTCTACATTGTACCATCGGGAGCAAACGTCGTAAACGCGGGCATATCATGGGTAAGGAAATAATTCCAGTCGAATTGGGAATCGTTGAGGGTATCCAAATTCCAATCTTCGCTGCTCGAGGCTGTGGGGTGGTTATCTTCTTCGACGGGCGGTTGGGAGGCGGTTGTTGCGCTGTTGCTGCCGTTGATGTAGAATTGTTCTGGAGGAGGGTTTGGGGGTTTTTCAGGAGGCGGTTGGTTTTGTTGGTGGTGGTGGTGGAGGAGGTGAGGAGGAGGTTGATGATCTTCCGAGGTGGTGGCACGCTGGATGCTCAATGCGAGAACTTGAGAGTCTTCGTCTTTGCGCTTCTTGGAGAGGCGGATGAGGAAGCGAGCGGTTTTTAATGCTTCTTTCATGGTCACGGTTTTGAAGCGATCAACGACGTACTCGAGGGTTCGCATTGCAGTGCTGATGTGTTGGAGGGATTCTTTGCAGTCCATGGCGAGGAAGACGCAGATGACTTGAAATGGTACATTGGCTACGTGCCACCACGGCATGCCCTTCTCAGCCATTCGTCTGGCTGCGTCGAGACCATAGATCCCAATGTTGACGATGGTTTTGATCACGTCCGGCGAGAGATTCGGATTGGTGAGTCGCAGTCTGCGATACCCACAGAGGCCAAGATTGGCCTTGGTCAAAGCGATCGCATCGTGTTTGGACTCGTACGAATTCAGCTCGTTCAAAAAGTCCTCCCACTGGCCAGCGTCATCTCCTTGTTCGGGATCCAGGTAGCAAGATATGCTATATAGCTCAATGTAGCTCTTGGTGTAATCGCCTTCGGCAGAAGTTGGTAATCTCGCTGTAATGCCTCGCAGCGCAACCCGGGTGCGCCCATACTCGAAGCTGACCCAAGAGTTCAGCATTCGCGCGATCCAGAAGGTGCGGCGCCGAATTTCAGGATCTGTGGAATCATTCGCTGCCGGATGTAGAACAGAGCTGCTGGCTTCCAGCTGCAGACCGATCGACTCCACTAGATGCATGGTCGTGCAGGTAGCCATCCATGTTGCATGTGGGTGGTCAGTTGTGCGTAAGATCAGACATCGAAGTACCCAGGATTGCACATCGTCCAGAGTCGGAGGGACCATGATACTGGTACTTTCCAACGCCATCTTCTGTGAATTCACCAGGGCGGGAAGAAACTGCGCCAACGGGTTGTTATCAGAAAACAGTATCCCGAGCGCTGCAATGCCGCATAAAATATGATCCGGAACGTTGCATTCTCCCGGAGTCGTCCATCTCACTGCTATCGTTTTATTCATGCGATCCTTGTTCAAGAAGGCATATATGGGGTGCACATTCGCAAAGTAGAATGTGGCAAGCTGCTCCATCTGGTAGCGGTTCAGGAGGTCGGTGATCGGCGCTGCTGCCTGGGGAGCTAACAGCTGACTGGCATACTGACTACTACCCAGATTCCAGCCGAAAGTGAACAGTTTCGGACCACTCGAAGGGTCGAGTCGCATACCAAGCAAGCGAGTAAAGGCAATTCCCGAGTTGGCCTCCAACGCTCGCATCTTCGATAGTTCTTCCATGCTGGGAGGCTCGATTTCAGGAGGCTCCCGATCGTCGACGCTGATCTGCGCGTCGGCGATGGCATGTTGCTCGACCAGCTTGCTCCGTTTGCGCGGGTGCTTCTCGAAGTAGCATCTACATGCCCATTCAGCATGAGGGAGGGCCAGAGGCTGATATGAGAAATCGGAGCATTTCGTGCTGATGCTTACTTGTACTCGAACTGCGTGCACATGTTGCACGGCATGTTGCCATTGCAGCGCCGCTTGCGCAGACGACACGGCTCACATGCCTGCTTGGCTCGCTGTCGTTTCCGGCCGTGGGGACCCATATCGCCGTTGGGCGGTGTCGCGGCGGCGGCATCTCCCTTGGCCTTGGCGGTGGACATGATCTCCGCCCGTGGTGGGTGCGGTGGGTGGGGACCGGTCGCGCAGGAGGAGGAGGATGATTCTCAGGGGCCCGCTAGAGAATGAAACTCGGTTGGGAACTTGGGAGGGGCGAGCAGCGAAGAGGAGGCGGTGAAAGTTTCACTGACATTTCGCTTGAAGAATTGACTAGAAGACGCAGCTTAACAATTGCACGCGGTCAAACGTCGGGTCCTCGGAATCGGCTGGCCCTCCACGTGAGGTTCATCGGTTCGAGAAGGTTGTTCCCGAATAGGCTTGGCATTTCTCTTTTCTGTCAGACTGCAGCACTGTACGGTCGCCTAGTTCAATGCTCTCTGATCGACGAACAGGACTTAAGGGTAGCGATATGGTTTAGGCTATATACATTAAACCTCCTCGGCTATAGACTATAGTCGTCTCATCATCTGTATTACTCCCTGCTCTGTCTGTACCCTAGGGGTGCCTCGCATACTAGAATTACGGAAAACTACATTAGTAGAGTTATGATAACTTGCTTGCCACCCGACCCCTCTGATCACTATCGTGTTGGCGCGTATAACAACACGTTGACACCTCGCTCCCGAAATTGAAGATGCTGATACATACAGCCCGATGTCGAATATCTGCTTCGAAACCTCTGTTTGGAGAATACGACTCCGTCGGAGCCGAGGAGAGGATAGCTCGGGGCTGCATTCTAATTTCTCGATTTGCGCGTCCATATGGGCTCGCTGATTATTGCAGCGTGAACAGCTGAGTACTCAGGTAGAGCAGCGCGTAATGGGGGTTTCCCCGTCTGGCGCACTCAAAAGTTGATGGCGTTGTGGAGCCATGCCAGGTCTTCTTCGGTCATGGTACCAGTGTCTCCGTTGCTCGAAACGTCTATCGGTGCATGCATTGCGGGCAATGTTTGATCTCCCTCTGCACGGAGGTAGGAGCTGATGTGTGACTTACGGTTCTCCTCCGGTCCCCTCGCATCCAGTAACTTCTGCCACTGAAGCAGCTTTGCGGCAGTCTCGTACTTGGCCCAGTCCAATATTGGCTCCGCAAGCTTCTTTGGCATGATCGTGGGCAAGCCAGCGGTGAAGCACCTGGAATTTTGAGGAGGGATAAAACAGCCCTTATTGTATCCCAGTATTCCCGTGAGCCAACGAGCAGCTTCACAAGGAGTACAGTTTTTCTTCAGAACATCGATCACCATACCATTGGGGAAACCGAGCATATCAGTGAGATCTGATGGCGTGGCGAGTATGCCGTTCTGTTCAAGCCACTGCGAGGTCATGCTCTTCATGATCTTTGGATCATTGACGAGCGCGACGAGACTCATCAACAGAGACTCGCAGTGAGGAGTTGTGTCGCTTTTCACTTGCAGAGACACAATCTCACCCAGATGTTCATGCAAAAAGTCTGGCCGAAGTTGTTTTTGCAAAGCCGTTAGATCGGCGAGGAACGCTTTGCTGATACCTGCGAATGGAGCATCGTCTCGCTTGCGACTCCCGAGATGCACGATGCCAACCTGAGCCTGCGCAATGATCGCGGATTCGTGATGAAGGCTCGACGAAAAGTGGCCTGTCCGGCACATTGTTACACGCTGCAGACTCGTCGCGTGCAAACAAAATAGGTGCATATATGCAATAGCAGTCGCTGCAAAAGCCTTATACGGACGACCCTCCAAGCTTCTGGTCTGCTGAATGAAGGAAAGATGGTCAATAGCATCGTCGTCAGTCGCTCTTCTGTCGAGCGCACCTGCCCGCTGAGGGTTTGGAGCCGTCTGAGTGGCCTGAGCCGCCGTAGTTGCCGAATATGTAGTCCATGTTGGCGTGTCTCTGAAGTCGACAACGTTGGCACATTCAGCGAGCCATTCGAGATGAGACTCCAGGAACTCATTGAAGAAGTTCAGGAAGTTCCGAAGCTCCTTCATGCGGCGCTGGGCGATAATCACACGTTTCTTGAAGCCCCCTTCGCTACGGCTCGAGTCATGCACATATTTCCCGAGATCTTGCAGTGCGCGTCGAGCCCGCAGAAGAAGCAGTTGCAACGTTCCCTGAAACCGCAAACGATCGGCATGTGTCGTGTAAATGGAGATGTTTCCATAAGCTGAATGAACCTCGAAGGCGGTAGCGACAGCAGTCGCCTGCTTAGCGTCAGTCGTCTTATTGACCAACTCGTGTGGCATGACGATCGATGCAGCGTGTGCAGGCATATGAAGGCGTGTCAGAATCTCCCACAGGTTGACGGTCCGATCATCAGGGGTGACCGCTTCACCTATCGCAAAACGCCGCTCCATTGCCTGATGACATGTGCCGAAGATGTAAAACTGCAATTGCGCTTCGGCAGCTGCCCGTGCAGTGACCGTTTCTGCAGTATGGAAACTCGAAAGATAGCGAAAGTACGATTGGACATGATCCTGAAATGGGACCCTCCGGTCCAGGTCTGCAAAGACTTTGGTGAGGGCATCTTCAGTGAGAGAAGCACATCCCGTTCTGTCGACCTTGATCAGTCTGATTTGGTGTGGGGAGTGGGCCATGTCTACTTGAGCTTCGCGCCGCTTCTTCTCATCTTTGTGTTGTGCGCTCGACGTGGACTGTTCGGTTGTCTTGAGCCAAGATGGCGTGGTAATTGCTGAGAGGTGAGAAAGAAGCCAGCATTTGTTAATTGCTCTCTTCGACTTCCTGTATTTGTTGCTATCTTTCACACCGGCAGTGAAATTCTTGGCGTCACTGTTCGCGAGAGGCTCTACTGGCTCGTCTCTATTTGAGTGGTGACCCGAGGAGTCTGCATTCACAGCAATGAGGATTCTTGGGTCTCTGATCTTCAGTACTTCATCATTGTTTCCCCTTGGTTCGAAGCCCGCATTCGAGCCGATGATTGCACACACTTCATCATCCTCACGACGCAGGACCTGGGCGTGTGTGTTGAGCATCGACTGGAATGCTCCTGGATTCTCAGTCAATAGCGTATTTGCAGTTTGAGGTTTGATACAGGGGAGAAGCGTATCAAGCGCGGCTGACAATTCCATGCAGGTACGGAAGTCTTGATGAGCGCCAGCATCGAGGAAATTGGCCTCCGGTCGATGGAAGTTGGAAGTGGCATCGACCATGATGGCGCCCATCTGGATGACGGACGAAGGAGCAGTGCCTTGGAGGACTTCCACTAGCCTGCTGTCTCTCGTCACCGAATGATGGCTCGAGTGTGATATGCCTGCCTGTGGAAGCATAGTCAGCGCCTTAAGACAGGAGAAGCGGGAAGAGGCGGCTGGCACTGGCCAAGAATGGCAGACGAACCGAATGAGCCGCGCTGGTCGTCAGCAGGCTTTATACGAGTTCCGCGTCAATATGAAGCGACGAGGGTACCTGTACCTGTACCTGTACACGTCGTCGCCAATAGCAGCAGCTGCGTGGAGAGGGAGGATGAGAGGCGATGAATGCAGTTGTGGACGAGACTGTGACAATGTCCCAACACAAATGGTTGCACGCAAACCCGTCGTCTCCCTCACCCTTGGTTGACGCTATTTCCTACCGGTATGGAGGAGAGGCATCTCTGGTACTGCGCGAGACACGCACAACGGTACATACAGTACGAGAGAGAGAGGGCCACCCCTAGGAGGTAACTTCACCATGGACCACGAAAGCGGTGCAGCCCCGCCCAACGTCTCGCAATCTCGAGGCATCTGGTCTGGTCTGGTGACAAACATCGTTGCTGTCTTGGCAGGGCGTCTCTCGTATGTACAGGTAGGTATACAAGTAGGTGTCAGCATCGGAGACGGAGAGATGCTCCATCAATCCGGTTGTGCGTGAGTGTAGATGGGATCGCGCTGAGGTATACGCATCTTCATGATAAGCTTATTTGCGCTGCGCTTCTGCACCAGCGGCCCGGCCCGCTACAGGGGAAAGATCAGATCAGTTCCGGATGTGGAACAACCACACCGTCCGCGCCACGCCACGCCATATCACGTCCCGCGCACGATCGTCGAGTCAGTCTGCACATGAGCATAACATCACCGCCAGCAGCGTCCGACGCATTCACGATCTCATTGGATACAGACGGGCATTGTCGCATCTGGTATGCGAACAGCAAGATAGACGGAACAGAGTGCTGCTTCAGGTAGAATGCGGCCGTCAGCATGCCTGACAATGAGCCGACTAGCCAGGAGAAACAGGCTGCGCCAGCAGTAGCCGCAGCACCAGGGGAAGAGGAAGAGCTCGCAGAATTGAAGCGCGTGCATACCAAAGGCAGCGAGAATCGTGACGAGCCGAAGGCGGAGCCACCGGAAGCCGACGAGTTTGGGCTACCGGTCAAGCCCCCACGAAGGCGGAGAAACTACTCGCTGGACGAGCTGGACAGCCCTGAGAAGATCAAGAAGCAGATCTTAGAGGAGACGGAAGGTGGACAGGACAATCAAGGGGAATCTGCAAAAATCCAGGCGAGTGGGGATGGCGATCCGCTGTCATCCGCGAAGAAGGGCGAGATGTCGGTAGAAAATGGTACAGATCCGTCTACACCACGAACTAGCACAGATGGCAAGCCTCCTTTGAAGCACATCGATGCGAATACCCCTTCCAAAGCTGGGCCGCCTTCTCCCAATGACGCTCGATCACCGCAAAGTCCAACCAAGTCGAAGCTACACGGCGCACAGGCATCTGTAAGCACAGTCGGCGAGTTCTCGCACCAACAGACGGTGCCACAAGAGCCCGTGGGTGAGGCCCAGGACGAGGTCAAAGATGCCGAAGAGGACGTGTGGCAGGACATGCCAGCTGTAGCGACTCACCGCATCTACGATGATTGGGGCAAGGTGATTGCCAAGAGTTTTGATGAGGTCGAGGACGAAACAGTAGCGTACGGCACTCTCGGTGGAGCTGGAAAAGGCTACACTCGCGTGCAAATGGACGAAGATGCGAAGAGTGCAACGTCCATGGATGATAACACCGCATATCTGTTCAAAGACCAGTACGGGCGTAACAACGTACTGCAGGACGAAGATGAAGGTGAAGCGAAAGACGCCATCAGCCAGCTGCAAGCGACGAAAGAACTTCTGACGGAAGGACAACGCATAGCATATGTAGGCGTAGTCAGACTGGCCCTGCTCGAAATGCAGAGGAACATTGACGAGCTGGAGCGCAACAAGAGCTCGCGAAAGCTAGTAGAAGTGGCTAGCGAGGCGCTGAAGATGTGGTCTCAGAAGGTGATGATCAGGTTGTATAGTCATATGGAGATTGACGCTCGAGAGCAGATCATGGTGGAGCAGCTTGCAGAGCATGGAGTCCTCCCGAGTGATCTGACACCTGCACTCATGGCAAACGCAAGGGTCAAGAATCCTACAGCAGAGTCGACCACGGCGTCACAGTCCAATTCTGCGAGGCCGTCAATGGCTTCGCCGCGACCTTCCAGCATTGCTGGACACCAACTATCTGTCAACAACTCGGCGCCGTCCTCGAAGCCTGGCACGCCTCAGCCGCCAGAGCCTGAGACTTCACCTGCAGCTTACGAAGAGCATACCGCGGACCAGTTAACAATCGAGAATCCGGACGACTACGAAGACGCCAAAAGTTTGGACATTGACATTCGATGGACGGTGCTATGTGATCTGTTCCTGCTGCTCATTGGAGAGAGTGCTTACGACTCTCGTTCGCGGGTTCTGCTGGAACGAGTTGGTGCTGCACTCTCGGTTCAGTGGCAGGAGATCTGCCGCTTCGAAAAGCGCGTGACAGATGCGCTGGAGATGCAGGAAGAAGTAGAGAAGGAGAACTGGAATGAAGAAGATCATATTGAAGCACGTCGTAAGGCCGCCAAGAAGAAGCGCATGGTTGTCATGGGATTGTGCACGGTTGGCGGAGGCCTTGTCATTGGACTCAGCGCCGGCTTACTCGCCCCAGTCATTGGTGCAGGACTGGCTGCTGGCTTCACCGCCGTCGGTGTCTCAGGTACAGGTACTTTCCTTGGTGGGACAGGTGCAGCAGCGCTCATCGGCACCACTGGCACACTTCTCGGAGGCAAGATTGGCTTCGGCACAAGTGGACGGCGCACCGGCGCCGTGAAGACATTCGAATACAAGCCACTCTACAACAACAAGCGAGTCAACCTCATCGTCACTATTGCGGGCTGGATGACTGGTACGGTCGACGATGTCAGGTTACCGTTCTCTACCGTCGACCCGGTTATGGGTGATATTTACTCCGTCAATTGGGAACCCGAAATGCTGCGAAGCACAGGTCAGACTATGCAGATTCTGGGCACAGAAGCACTGACACAGACCATCCAGCAGATCCTCGGAGCCACTTTCCTGACAACCCTCATGGCCGGACTTTCCACTCCATTGATTCTAGCAAAGATATCGTATCTCATCGACAATCCGTGGAGTGTTTCATGTGCTCGAGCTGACGCTGCCGGTCTGATTCTTGCGGACTCGATCATCGAACGTAACCTTGGCGTCCGGCCGATCACACTTGTGGGCTTTTCGCTTGGCGCACGTGTGGTGTATGGTTGCTTGAAGGAACTTGCTCGACGTGGCGGAATTGGGCTCGTACAAAACGTGTACATGTTTGGGTCTCCAGTGGTTGTCAACAAGGACGACTGGATCCGAGCCAAGTCAGTCGTCCCCGGGCGATTCGTCAACGGGTATGCTACCAACGACTGGATCCTTGGCTACCTCTTTCGAGCCACTGGAGGCGGTGTCATGAGAATTGCAGGCCTCGGAAAAGTGGATGTCAATGGCATCGAGAACATCAATGTCACGGAAGATGTGCCAGGACATATGGCGTATCGTGCAATGATGCCTACCTTGCTGGACAAAGTTGGCTGGGCGGTCGAGTCGCTTGAGTATACGGAGATTGAGGATCCCGATCCTGAGAACCATGAGAAGAGACAGCGCGAGCTGATCAATGAGATTGAGGAAGCGAGACGGCAGCTTGAGGAACAGCCGGAGAAGAAAGGGTTCAAGTCATTCTTCTCGAGAAAGAAGAATACACAGAAGAAAGCATGGGAGACTTACGACGAGCGTAATGCCAAGGTTCTCGAAGGTGATGAAAAAGAGGCAGAGAAGTTGGCGGAAGAGAATGCCAACGTCATGTTCGACGTTGAAGCCATCCGTCGCGAAGCTCTAGCATTGGCTATCCAGAAACCCGGTGATATCGAGGAGATCAAGAAGCATCTGAATGTGCGGGAGCTCCAATCGACGCTTCCTGCGTTGAAAGTGAATCTCGAGAAACACGAATCTGCGAGTAATGTCAGCACTCCCACTAGCGCGACACAACCAACAGTGGCGTCCACCCATTCGCAGTCTCACGATAGCACGACCAACTTCCCAGCCGCCGGGAACATCACCAACGGTGCGCACATGACCAAGGATAACAATGAAGGCGACATCTCGATGACGTTTGAGTCACCCGAACGTCCTCACACCTCCTTCAACACCCGCATTTCCGACCTTGGATCAGCGCCTGCGTCACGTTACGCAACTCCCGACCCCTACTCATCGCAAAAAGCCACGCCCGAGCCCCATCGGCCCGAGACTGCGTGGGAGCAGCCACGATTGACAGTGGGAGAGGCGAGTAGGCACACTTCTCATCGCAGTGTGACTAGTCCTCTGCCGCTGACGAGTAGTTCGGATTACGACTACAATCCTTGGGGTGCTGGCACTGATGCGGATGATCCGGAGTTTGGAAAAGAGAAGGAGGTGAAGATGACTTTTTAGGGTATAACACTGCATGTATTCATTCATTCCAGCGTTGAAGTCCATGTTGGGGTTGGGGCGGTGCAAATTGAATTGAGCATGAATCGAATTCGCTTGCATATTTCCATCATTCATGCGCTCCCAGGAGGTGGGTGGGCATTTGTCGGCGTATGTGCATTTCTGGGGAATGATGAATGGGTGGTGTGGTGGCTTCATGAAAGTGCATCTATGGGACGAAATGGAATGGACTCGGTTGAAGAAGGAGGAGCAGGATTGCAATGCATGTCTTACGACCCAAATTGTTTTTTCCGCCTATTTTTCCAGATTACAAACAACGAAGCGCGTGTGTCGTTAGAATAGCAAGCAATTGATAACATGATTGATTGAGAAATTTTCGGGGCTATCTCCAGACACCCAACAAGTTTGCACGTGGTCGACTGGCTGGCTCTTTTGAACTTAGTGCGGGGTCTCTTCAGCTAGGAAGTACCCCTCCTTTTCTTTTTCCCCGAACCAACACAGCTGAATTGCAGCTTCATCACACAATGCTCGCCCTGCTTATCAGCTCTTGCCCTTTCCATATCGATACCTACCTAATGTACCTTAGGCATCCTCGAGCACAAGTTTACCTACATATTACCATACACCCACTGTGGTCTCAACACGTGACCTCACACGCCACGGCAAATTCAGCTTGTTCGTTCTCCCGCTTTGGCTCAATCAAGTGCTGCGAGCTAACGGGGTCTACAGGCATCGTCTAACGGTTAGGACGTAGGTCTCATACACCTTTGTATGTATGACTGCTTTCAAAGCAGAGTATCCTTCTCTATGAAAAGGCATCCTAAAATCTGAGTTCGATTCTCAGTGCGAGCATCATCGCGCACTGGCTGTCTTGAGATGGCTTGGAGATGTTGTACACTAGTATGTTAGGTGATGAAAAATCACCAGGCAATGCAATTTTTTTCGTTTTTCTTTTTTTTTCTTTCCTTTTTTTTTCTTCTTTCTAAATTGGTTTGATAAGGTGGGGGAATTGTTGTAGATGCTTGGATACCTACCTAGGTAGGTACATGCACTTTTCGCCTTGGACGTGCGTGCTTTGGCGGTTGGGAATGAGAGACAGGTAGGTATGATGTAGAAATATGTTGAGACAGTCACGTTCCATCTGAGATCACTAGGACTGACTGCCCCATACCCGAAGGTTCAAGATTATATATTCCATACTTTGGGTGCACGGAAACCAGTCGCACAGGCGGGATAAAAGCTGTGGTACAACCTTACTCGCCACGCGTGTCGGGCAATGCTGCTTCCCGAAGTGCTTTGCTGCGCGTTGCACGGAAACATAAGGTAGGTACCTAAGGTACGTACACTCTTACAGTGCCCTCATATACGGTAAGTTAGCTAAGCCGCATTTTTCCCAGCGATAGTAGTCGCGAGGTCGTTTTATTTGTTGCAACTTTACATCCCGGGGGGAGGGGGGCGTCGCTGTTCCCGGGCTGTGAATGATCAGGTGTGTTAGGATCATCAGGTGTGTCTGTCATATCAGTGGTATGCAGGCGAAAAAATAGAAGAACGAATGGCAGTGGAGAGTCGGGATGTCGACGTCGAGATTGGTTGCAATGCTTCGACGCTACTTGACACATCGGCAACGCCGCGTGCTGTTGCCGCGCCGCGACGCTAGTTCTAACACAGCCTAGTCCGCCAAGGCTCCTGAATTTATTGCTTCCAGGAACAGAATCCTATCATCACCAGTATCACCAGCATCACCAGCTTCGCCAGCATCATTACCACCATCCAACACTATCCGCCACCACGCGGCGGTCATGTCCAGCGACTCAGCAACTTGGCAAGCCTGTCCTGATCATTGATGCTGGTGCTGGTGCTTCAGCCCGCTGAGCCCGGCGCCCGCCCTGGGCCCGCGTCCAATACACAACATCGAATAATGTCTCTACCTCCTAGGAGGTACCTCACGTTGTGTCCAGGTCCCTGTGCGGCGGTATGAGACGCAAGTGCTAAACCGGGCTTCCAACTGGATGTGGTCCATTGCCGTAGCTGCATATGCAAACGACCTCACGCTCTGCGGCCTGCACGTGCGAGCCTGAACCACCGTCGGCAGGCTATCTTCCCATTTGACACATGAAGCAGATCGTCCGCGCTACAGCATACAATAATGCAGTTGCAAGCCATTTCCCGTGTCGTTGCGTGCGGCGCGGCCACAGTCTCGTTAGGCCGGGCGTGGTGAGAAAGACGTACCTCCGGAGGTAGAGCGAGCGGGGAGCGGCGAACCTAGACGATCCGGCGCATACACACTCACGTACAGTCCACGGATGCTGTACTGCAGCTTATGACGACCACCTGTCAGCAACTCACATCTCCCTAGGCGCTCCATTCCGGACAGTCACAACAGTCACACTCGGAACTAGCGCCCCAATCATACCCACTGAAGTGGCACTGACGCCTGCAAGTCGACAAATGCAGGGATCCTACCACACCAGAACGAGACTCCACTAGTGCTCGGAACGTCCCTATATGCAGCCACTGGTCAGAGCCCCATTCGCACCTCTGCATGGAACCGCGTCTATCGCGAATCGCATTGGGATATCAACTTTGCGGCTAACATGGCTTGTCATTTTTTTTGTCAACAGACCCGCTGCCATTGACAGGCTACAAGCACAGCACCCAGAGCGCCAGTAGATGGAGCCAGACGGGGATCGTCTTTGCCTGCCGAGCCCTCTCTGCGCACTAACCTTGCCTGGAGCCCAGTCGTAACTTGTTGCGTATCGAATGCAAGTGGCACTGTTCTCTCTACCTATCTTCTATGCATTCCCCCAACACCGTCATTGCTCCGCTACTCGCATACTGCCTACTCAGACGCTTTCTCTCTTTTCTTGTCCTTTCTTTTGGCTGCTCTTACTATTGTCTCTGCGCTCGCAGTATCTTAACTTGGCAACCTCGAAATCGGAGTCGAGCTTCTCCGCATCTCGATAGTCCTGCTTTTGGAACTCCCTGAGACGCCGGCTCATCGTTGGTCTCTGCGTTTGCAGCGTATAGACTTGGCGGCTTCGAGATCGAACGTCGGGCTTCTCCGCAACCCAACAATCCTGCTTTCGACAGGCCCTGAGACACCAGCTCATCGTTGCCGAGTCATACATGACGATTGACAATGCGATTGTAGACCGCAACAGCTGGAAGTCGCACACCCGAATTTCCTACGAATCCACTGGGACATGATTATACGGACTTCAAGCACAAGAATACACTGTCGTCAGGCGATTGGCGTCGTACAGGAAGAGGCTGCGAAAGACACGGCCCGCGCTGGTCATACTGTAGTAAAAACTCCCAACCGTACACGCAGCCCGCTATGGCAAACACCACGTTACTAGGAAACTGCGTAGCACCGTTCCTGGATGCTTCGAGGTTTCCATCGGACGAAGGATGTACGTGTAAAAGAGTATCCATCGGGGAATGATCGCTGATACGTAGCAGTTATCGATGGACGGTTATGTGCTGTCATTGCAGGACTGCAGGATTCGCCCACATGCTGCTTACCGTGCCCTGCAACTCGTTATGTGTACTCTGACCAGTTCAACACTTACGGTATGGTGTCGGAATGGCTGAATGTGGTTGGCCTGGCTCTATTATGCTTCATGATGCTCTCTTACACAATTCTACCCACACAACAAACGAGAAGTCATTACTTGTCCGTCTGTTTGATCATATCTGTTGGAATGATTGCTCTTGGATTCACAATACCTCTAGGAGCACGACCGGACCAGTGCTACAACGAGATCACCCCGAACGACATGTATACATCAATGGCTTGTGCCTGGGGAGGAGCATTCATCATTGCAGGAGGCCTCTCAGTCATCATGTGGGTGTTCATTCGGGCTCTGTCAATGAACTTGCAGATCTGCTGGGACATTGTACCAGGGCGAAAATTCTTCTACGTTTCGCAGACGCTCGGTTGGGGCATTCCTGCTGTGCTCTTCTGCATCACGATAACGCTTACTGGGGTGAGCTTCCGGTTCGGAAACGCCTGCCACGTCAACCACAAGGACGCAATGGCAGGCTTCTGGGGACCTCTGATGGCGCTGGCGGGTGCTGCGGGTGTTCTACAGGTCATGACACTCATCTACTGCGCCCATGTATATCTCAAGAACATGTGGAGCGACAACGCTGCGGAAACAGGCTCAACGAACGCCTCGGGCAGCGGACTACCATCATATCAAAGCAGTGTGCGCAAGCAGACTGCACGTGCAGTGTATCGACGGCTGAAGAAGGTGCTCTGGTTGCAGTGGCGAGGAATCTGCATCGTCACCATCATCCTGGTCGATGTCGTGTTCTTCACGGTAGTCTTTGTGAGATTGGACAGCATGCAAAGCTCGGTGATGGACGACTACGAAAAGGTATCTCCATGGTTGGCTTGTCTCACGGCGCATCCAACAGATAAAAACCAATGTCTTCATTTGGTACAAGGGTGGCTTGTGTCCGAAACGGCCGTCGCTGCAGTTCTCCTGCTGCTGTCGCTCGCTGGATTCCAAGTCTTTCTTCTCTTAGCGAGATCTTCGGTCTTTTCAGCCTGGATGGACTTCTTCCGAAGACGAGCGGCACCTCATAGGCAAGAGTTTGTCAGCCTTGATGCGACCCCAGGTATTCTACGAAGCACTTCCAAGGCAGGCTTAGTAGAGTACCAACGTGGTCATCAGCACACAGCTTTCGAAATGCAACCCAAACCGCCACAGGTCACAACACGAAATTTGAGTGAGAAGGAATTGGGAGAGTCCACACTGAGCTCTCCCGAAGACTCCTACCACAGCCCCCTGCAACGAGGACAATCGCCCGCGATCGGCACAACCATAGACTTCTCACCACCACACGGCAATCGTGGCCAAATGCCACCCGAATACATAGGACGCATCACACCATCCCCAGCAACCAACCCGGAAAATCCACTACACACCTGGTCGAGTCCCTACCATCGACCTGGCTACCAACGAGAAGGCTCCACCGACGAGTATTCCAACAACGACAGCCATGTGAACACAGAGCCTTCCGTCGCCAGCAGCATCAGACTCTCAGAAGAGAGAAAACTCCACCCCCGCCACCACCAACAACCGTCCGAAAACTTTTCCAAACCTCGAACTTCACTCCTCTCCCGACAAAGTAGCACCACCACCACCATCACCACCAAATCCGTCAGCTTCGAACAACAACAACAACCTCCTCCTCCTCAGAGGGAATTAACGTCATATACCAGACTAGCGGGTGGCTTAGCGCTGAATCCTCCGAATGAAGCTGGTGAGAGTCGAGAGAATTTGTCGTCGTATACGACGTTGAAATTTGATGTAAATAATCGAATATGATGTGGATGACGTGATTAAATAATTGTCAATAAAAAATGAAAAAACTTGAACATATCGAAAAAATATCCGAACGAATTGCATTATCTGCCTACCTAACTTTTATCAACATGTCAGTCGATTAGTTGATTGGTTTTTCATCCATCTCCCCCTCTTGATGAATACCTAGAGTAAGTATCTGTATGTAATACTTTCTGCTTTTCTTTTCCGTGCTATCAATCAAATCAATCAAATCGATCCAAAAGAAAGATGATCTGGAAGCAAAAAGCAAAAAGAGTAAAAAAATCCAAAAGGAAAGGCGACGACAGTGAAGTCGATGTGGTAGAGCACCATACGTGATGGTCCCTAAGGGGGTCGAACCCTCGACCTTGGCGTTGACAGGCAGCAGAGCCTTATTAGCACCACGCTCTAACCAACTGAGCTAAGGAACCTGTTCTGATTGATGTAGCAATTGCAAGATTTCTAGTATATATACCTCAAGCAAATTTTCTCTGTCGCGCATTTCGATGCGACCAGGCTCTGAGCCTTGTTTTTTCCCGGGGTGATTTCTTGGAACTTGATCGGATAGCGAGCATACTCTTAGAAACCTGACAATGTCAGGTATGGTTTCATTTTCAAGATACTAATCGACTCGGTGCTAGAGTATCTCACAGGTACTTTGGGATCTTTGTACAACCAGTAGTATACGCGTCTGGAGCGTCGTCTTGTCTGGCCAGCATTGCCAACTTGGGATTCACACATACCTAAGGGAAAATTGGCTACCACAATCATTCATCTCAACATCTATTCGTCTGTCGTATTTTATATCGCTAAGGGTATCAATCGCAATAGCTAAATTGCAAAAGCAGAAGCACATCCACAACGACCAACACTACTATCATGATGCCCCTAAACTATGCAATGCAATTCGCAGCTCCTTGACAGCGGTATCGACATCTTCAAAGTTCAATGCAGAAATCGCCCACTTGGCATGCTTTTGAGCTGCCATGATCGCCTCGTCGTCCAGATTATAGCCGCCTGGAGGTGGTATTGGGGCAGCGACGGGAGGGGCTCGTAGCGATGGAGGAGGTGCAGCTACTGGTGGCGAAGAGAACGTCGGCACAGTAGAAGGAAGTGGTGGGCCTGCATGGGTGGGGTCTTGTCCAAGATCGTCCATTGTTGGCGCTGTTGGTGGAGCTTCTGCAGTGTGGTAAAAGTCTGCCGGATCTGACGCCGAGAATGTGGCGGCACTAGATGGTTCGCCTGGCACTGTTGGAAAGTATCCTCCGCCCACAGAGCCTGCTCTGCTGGTTGCGGTTGCCTCGATTGGCGACACATCATGAGCAGCTGGCGCATCCATCGGTGGTACAGGATCCGTCGGCTGCATTGGAGGACTTGTCTGAAATGTTGATTGCGGCCGCGACGCACTTTCTGGGGCAGCTTCGACCGTTGGCGGTCTATACACACCCGCATCTTTTTCCAAATTCTTCAATTCCGCTTCGAGATCTTCTTCAGTCGTGGTTTGTTCTGCGGCAGGTGGCTGCTCCACCACAGGATTTGACGCATTCGGATCCTCGCCAGCCTTGATCGCCTTTGCAATTCGCAGCGCGTGGAACTTGGCGAATTTGCTTTTGGCGTGAAATTCCGGATCCATTTGACCCCATATCGTCAGAAGATCCATAAACGTGGCTGATGCTTGAAAAGTATCTGCCGTTTGCCGTGTCACCTTGTTGGTTCTCTGTGCTTCATCTGCACGATTGAATGTATCCAATGCGAAATTCTCGATATACGCCTTGGCGGCTACATCGTCCACCACGGCATCATTCGTACCATTCTCCTGCTTGTATGCCTCCAGCTTGTCCATCAGTTGCAAGGCATAATTGGTGCACTCCTCATCGGTGGTGTGTAGTTGCCGATTCAGGATGATTTGCAGGATGTAGTATTCGCCTGGTCCAAATCAGCGCACGCAGACCCATCTCTTGTCGTCAAGTAGACATACACCAGTATGCCACAATCGGCCTGAATTTCTCAAGCTGAGAAGCTCTTGTCGCGAATCGTCCCACGTCTGGAGCCGCTGCCCGGAGCTTCGGTGGGAGACTGGCGGCCATCTTTCTATAGCCTGATCTTCTGCAGCATCAGCTTCAATCGAGGATGTCGTTCACGGGACGGCCAGGCGGACTTGGCGAAGATGACGGTGAATGTCGATGGTATGTAGGTAGTCAATGAAAAGCGAGGATATGCCAGCCACGTGCAAGACGCACGCAAGCACGATGACCAGGAATAGAACTAGAATGTAATGTGGCGCGGCGGGCGCGCCGCGTGTTTGTGGGGAGAGCTGGAGATGGTTGCACTGACCCTAAGCTACCTTACCTGACCTTACTGGGCTTCACTGATGAACAGTTGTCCTCGACGACGTGTACATAAAGGAACATGTAACGTACACGGTCCCTTACTGCTTACTGCCGTGCAGGTATCATCTCCCATCCTCCGACAAAATGGTTCACTCGCTTCCCATCGCCGTTGCGGCAGCTTCATTGCTGCTGCCTGCCGCCCATGCCTTCTATGATCGCTCATCGCCCGTGATCCAAGCCGATGGCGGGTCCTTTAACACCCTCGTCAACAAGTCCAACTACACGAGCATCGTCGAGTTCTATGCGCCATGGTGTGGCCATTGCCAAAACCTCAAGCCAGCGTATGAGAAGGCTGCCAAGTCACTCTCGGGATTGGCCAAAGTCGTGGCTGTGAACTGCGATGAAGAGCCCAACAAGCCGTTGTGTGGCCGAATGGGCGTCCAAGGCTTTCCTACCCTGAAGATTGTAAGACCCGGCAAGAAGCCAGGCAAACCTTTCGTCGAGGACTATCGGGGGGAGAGAACTGCAAAAGCGATCGTGGACGCTGTCATCGACAAGATCCCAAGCCATGTCAAGAGACTGAAGGATGCGGACTACGAAGCATGGGTGGCAGAAGACGCAGGCCCCAAGGCGATACTCTTCACGAACAAGGGCACTGTCAGCCCTCTTCTCAAGGCTATAGCCATCGACTTCTTGGGAGGGCTTGGTGTGGCTCAAATTAGGGACAAGGAGAAAGGCGCGGTAGAGGCCTTTGGGGTGGAGAAGTTCCCAACACTGGTACTGCTGCCTGGAGATGGCAAGGAAACAATTCCGTATGTGGGCGAGATGAAGAAGGACTCCATCGTCAAGTTCCTCTCACAGGCCGCTACACCCAATCCAGACCCACCGAGGCAGGAGAAGAAGAAGCAGGAGAAGAAGAAGCAAGAGAAGAAGCCGAAGTCAACGTCCACTAAGTCTTCATCTAACCCAAATCAATCGGGACACGTGCCCGGCGAGACAGGTGGGAGTAAACCGATACCTTCGCCCTCATCTACCCCAATTGAATCGGGACCCGTGCCCGGCGAGACAGGTGGGAATAAACCGATACCTTCGCCCTCATCTACCCCAATTGAATCGGGACCCGTGCCCGGCGAGACAGGTGGGAATAAACCGATACCTTCGCCCTCATCTACCCCAATTGAATCGGGACCCGTGCCCGGCGAGACAGGTGGGGATAAACCGATACCTTCGCCCTCATCTACCCCAATTCAATCGGGACCCCTGCCTGGCGAGACAGGTCAGGTAAAACCAATACCAACGCCCTCGGCAGCAGCTTCAAAGCCAGATGCTACTTCTGTCGCTCTCCTCGCAGAGCCACTTGCAGTGCAACAAAAGTGCTTGAACGACAAGGCCGGCACGTGTGTGATCGTCCTTCTACCTGAAGAAAACACGCCCTCGGAGAGCACAACTCTTGCACTCAAGAGCCTGAGCGAGGTACAGCAAAAATACGACGGACGTAAGCTCTTTCCTTTCTTCCAGGTCCCACATGCCAATGCTCAGAACGCGGCTCTCCGCACCACGCTTGAGCTCAATCCAGGCAAAGTCGAGATCATCGCCATCAACGGCAAGCGCTCCTGGTTCCGCCATTTCACAGCAGAGGACTTCCACCTTGCCAAAGTCGAGGATTGGGTCGACGCCATCCGCATGGGTGAATCGCCCAAGAAGAAGGTGCCAGACTCACTCATCGTCGACGCAGCTGAGCTCCCGTCTGAGCCAGTTGTGATTGAGGATCCTGAACAGGTCAAGCAGAAGGAGACTACGCCTGATCCCGACAGCGCAGTACCTGATGCAGATGCGGCGAGGAAGATCGTGGAGCAGCTCAAGGCAGATCTGCCAGAGGGTTTGACGGTCCAGATAGAAGAACTTGAGGATGCGGACTATGAGAAGATGATGAAGGAAGGTGAGGCGGAAGGCAAGAGCAAGGAGTCAGAGGCTGAGACGGCTGTCGATCATGATGAGTTGTGAAGGCATTTCAAATCAATCATATATGCATGCAGGTGGAATTGATATACATATATCTATTCCAGCTAGGTTAACGGACGACAATGCAATCCATCATCTATCTACTTATTCTCAAACTTCAACCCACTCTCCTTCCTCACCGCACCGTAGATCCCCGCGATATCTCCTCTGTCCCCAGCATGGTCCACCACCTGCTTCAAATGCGCATCCGCCACCTCCAACCCATTCATCTTCGCCCCACACTTGTCCGCCAAACTCTTTGCATGCCCCGCATCCTTCCTCGCCAATTTCGCCTGAAACAGAGGCTCCTCCCTCTCAAAATAATCGCCACTCTTCAACCGCTGACTGTACGCCGTATACGGCCCGGGAAACATGACCTCAATAAACGCGTGCAAATTCTCCGTTCCCAGCCCCGATTTCTCCGCCAGCACATGTCCCTCACTCAACGCTTCCACCATGGCGAGGATGAAGGTATTTCCGATGATTTTGAGATGTGTGGCTGCGCCTTGCGGTTGGTCCGAGTAATTGATTTCTGCGCGGCCCATGACGCCTTTGCAGAAGGGGAGGACGCGGTTCACTTGGGGTTTGGGACCGGCGAGCACGCAGACGAGTTGGCCGTTGTCGGCCATTGCTGGGGCGCCGAAGACTGGGCAGGCGACGAAGTCGGCTCCGGCGGAGTTGATGGTTTGAGCGAGTTTGTTGGTGGTGTCGGGGTGGACTGTGCTGCAGTCGACGAAGAGTTTGCCCTTGGCTGCTTCTGGGGAGGACGAGAGGGCCGTGTTGATGGTTTCTTCGATGGCGGCATCGTTGGAGAGACAGGTGAAGATGATGTCGGATGATTGGACGGCTTCAGAGATGGAGGTGATGGCTTTTGCTTTTCCTTCTGGGAGAGAGGAGACAAGTTTCTCGGTACGTGATGTCGTGCGGTTGTAGACGAGGACTGGGCCGGAGTGTTCGCCTTTTTCGACAATATTCTTGACCATTCCTCTGCCCATGTTGCCGAGACCGATCCATGATAGTCGTCTGAGATACGTTGTCAATATACATTTCTGCGGTGGTCTATTTGTTCCAGGGAATTTTCAAGCTGGTCGGCTGCCCTAGATCTAGTGTGTTGCCACTGAAGTCAGGACATGGGGAATTCGACTCACGGTGCCATTGTGAGTGGATTGGTAAGCTGTAAGGTGGTGAACTTGATCTTCTTGTTCGAGCAGTCGGATGTGAGGGCTGCAATGAGAAGTATGTAATTGAATGTCTACCTGGGTGCTGCTACAGCTTATGTATGGACGGCTCTCTGTACCATGAGCAGATGTTCGACGATGACGTGTCTCGCTCTGGCTACATGGACGGCGACGGCTTCTGCATCGCGGCGCGGGTCCGTCCTAGTTCTACTCCTATGCCATTTATCCTCAGGTACTGCTCTGCTCATCTTGATCGTCTCCAGTCCTTCGGTGGCTTTGGCGAGTACAGGACGTTACCCGCAGTAGCCGACTGTTCGGATATATTTTGAGGGATGCTGATGAGTCGCAGATGTCTGTGCAGATCATGGGAAGAGGATCGAGCGGGTACGGTGGAGGGGAGGGGTTGTGTCTGTGGCTAGGAGGTAGTTCGACTTCGGAGACGGACTACAATCTGATATACCTACATGACTTGTTAGCAGCAAGGTGACGATCAAGATGAAGATACTTGGAGGTGAAGATCAAGATGATGGGAGATGAAGGAACGAAGGTGGGAGGTGGGAGAAAGGATGTACCTCCTATGGTGGACCGACAGGTTTGCGAAGAACCGTGGTCGGGCGGTCGGTTAGCGACGGTCTGACGGACAACTGGACAAGCTTCCAATTGACGGCGACAAAGAAAATGGAGTTGCAAGGCCGCAAGGCGCAAGGCGTGACATTGAAGAAAAAGTGAGTCCGCTCCATTTCTCTGTGACCCTCCCGTCATCGACATACCTTACCTCCTACCTTCATTCTGTTTACATGTCCTGTCCTCTACAGCATAACTTACACCACATCGAATAGACACCATGTCGCACGTCACCTCCAAGCCGCCCCGCAACCCGCCCGCAGTAATGGACTCGATCCTCGAGAACGTGGGCAACACGCCGCTGGTCCGCCTCAACAAAGTCCCTCAATCAATCGGCGTCAAGTGTGCTGTCTACGCAAAATGCGAGTTCTTCAACGCTGGCGGCAGTGTCAAGGATCGCATTGCCCTGCGCATGGTGGAAGCAGCAGAGAAAGAGGGTCGCCTCAAGCCAGGACACAGTGTGCTCATTGAGCCTACCAGTGGCAACACCGGCATTGGATTGGCTCTGGTCGGCGCCGTCAAGGGATACCGCACCATCATCACTCTTCCCGAGAAGATGAGCAGTGAGAAGGTCAGTGTCCTGAAGGCACTCGGCGCGGAGATTATCAGAACTCCTACAAGTGCTGCTTGGGATAGTCCCGAAAGTCACATCGGTGTGGCGAGGAAGCTCGAGAAAGAGATCCCAGGTGGTATCATTCTGGATCAATACAGCAATCCGAACAATCCTTTGGCACACGAGTTTGGCACGGCAGCAGAGATTGTGGATCAGACGAATGCACTGTCCTCGACTTTGAAAGCTGTTGTGGCAGGTGCGGGTACTGGTGGCACTATCACAGGTATATCTCGGGGCATCAGAAAGGCACATGGAGATTCCGTGAAGATTGTTGCCGCAGATCCCAAAGGTTCTATTCTCGCTGTGCCAGCCACGCTGAACGATGAAGGCAAGGACAAGCCATACAAGGTGGAGGGCATTGGCTACGATTTTATTCCCGATGTGCTCGCACAGAAGGAGGTAGATGTGTGGTACAAGACCGACGACCGAGATTCCTTCTACTGGGCGCGCAGACTCATACGTGAGGAAGGCCTGCTCGTTGGCGGCAGCTCCGGCTCTGCCATGGCAGCATGCATGAAGGCGATCAAAGAGATGAATCTGGGAGCCAACGACTCAGTGGTTGTCATTCTGCCAGACAGCATTCGCAGCTATCTCAGCAAGTTCGTCGATGATGACTGGCTTGCGGCCAACGATCTCCTTCCACCATCAGAGCCCCTCACTGCGCCTCCAACGCCACCAAGTCCCGCTGCTGAGCCAGCGGTCACCGAGAACGACGGCAAGCCAGAGGCTCTCCCAGCACTCACTACAACTGAAACCAAAGACGAACACAAGAACGCCAAGATTCGAGATCTTCGCCTCAAGCCCATCCAGACCATCGCCGTGAACCAGACCGTAGACGATGCCGTCGAGCTCATGCGCGACAAGGGCTACGATCAAATCCCCGTCACCGCCGCTTCTGGCAAACGCCTCGTCGGCATGGTGACACTGGGCAACTGCCTCTCCTACCTCTCATCCGGCCGCGTCACCATCAACAGCCCCATCGAGGATGTCATGTTCAGCTTCAGCAAGATCGACGAAGTCAAGCCCATTGAAAAGCATCCCGGTGGCGCCGAAGGCGAGGAGAGCAAGCGCGAGTTTGTGGAAATCACCGTCGACACACCTCTCACATACCTCGAGCGCTTCTTCGTGTGGAACGCTGCGGCCATAGTCACCGAGCGAAGCAGTGACAATACTCTCAAGGCCGTCGCTGTTGCGACCAAGGTCGATCTCCTCCTTTGGCTCGTGAGACAAGGTCGAGCACAGAAAGGCTCTGCTTAGAATATGTACATTTTACCTATATTGCAGTACATTGCATTGCATTGCATTGCACTGTCGATTTGAGCGATGGCGTTGGCGGACTCTTTTTTTTTCTGTTTCTCGGAGTCCAATTAAGAAGTGAGTGAGGCGCTTCTTGAATAAAGCAGCAGCATAAGTAGGTGCTCGGGGTATGATTTATATCTTACCTTGAGTGCTGGATGAATATTACGCATTCACCATCTGTGTCATTATTTCCTTTTTTCCATTTAGTTTTCTTTTTTTCCATTTTTTCCTTTTCTTTCAATTGTTAACAGTGGCACGCAACCATCTCTCCCATTTCGACTTGGTAGAAGGATCCATCATACCTAATCAAACGCCTCGTTCATTCTTAGTATGTTGGACTATTTCCCATGCAAATTCGTGATATATCTACGTGCTGCTCCTCCCGCGCTTTTTCCCAATTGGCTGTTCATACGCTGATATGCTATCGCCTCAAATTCCGAAGTCATCCCCTGCGATACCGACAAACGCCACCATAACCTGCGAGAGACTGTCTGAGCTCTGACGACGCTATCCCGGACACTACCTGATCAACGTCTTGGCTGATAGTACTGCTGCTGCCCGCTCATCTGTGACTGTTGTTGCACGGGTGCATACCCATATGATTGCTGTAGCGGATTCATGCCTGGCTGTGGCACGTACTGTCCACCATGGACGCTGGACCGAGGTTGCTGCTGAACAAAGCCCTGTTGTAGCATTTGCATTTGCTGCATCTGAGCTTGCTGCTGCAACATCTGCTGCTGCATCATGCCTGGTGACCATGACTGCCTATGTTGAAGTAGATCAGGCATCTGCTGCTGATAGATTGCTTGTTGTGGTGGAATCACACCCATTCTCTGCGCCCGCTCGTGTGCCATCTGGTTAAAGTGAGCTGTCTGTGCCGCCTTCTGCGCTGCCATTTGAGCTTGCTTCTGTTTTTCCTGCTGTGCTTTTAAAGCTGCCTGCTGGGCCTGTGCCTGTTGTTGGTATGTCGTAGCAACTGCGCCCTGCACTACGCTGTTCCGGTAGGGGCTGGAGGCAGCCTTTTCACGCTCGCGATCTGCAAGCGCGCCAATAAGACCTTCATTATCGAACGTGTTCCTGTTCCCCACGTTTACATTCATGTCGACTAGTGGAGCTCCTGTCAAACGAGACACTTGCGTTCTCTCCCTAGCACTCAGATTGACAGGCTGTGTGCTGGCAAGCAACCCTCCTCCGCTAGAGCTTCTCAACAGGTTTCGCGAAAGTGGCCTTTGAGGCGGCGCAGCGAGCGCCGACCAGTCTCCAGAAGCTGCACGCCGGAAAGGTGGCGGAGTCTTGGTCCTGGACTTTCGTAGCTGCGATACATCATTCGTGGACGCGTGTCGTCCATGGGCAATCGAGGTACTTAGAGGGTCCGGGCGCTGAGAGTACTGTGGCTGCGGCGCGTACTGAGGCCGTTGCGATTCTTGGTACTTCAGCTGGACATACTGGTCCGGTGTAAGACCTGGGTGAGTGGTGCCGACTGCAGCGGTGCCGGGTTCCCACATCATGCTTTGTCTTTTGCCCACAGCCAGTTCACTCTGCTGTCGAGCCTCTATTCCGGTGGGTGTTGGCGTTCTTGCTCCAAAATATGAAGTGCGCCTGTTCTCGGTAGGGCTGTCTCCTGAGTCGAGATGGCCGCTGAGTCTCGATGTTGAGCCATGCCGCAATTCATCTCGTGATCTTGATCGGTGCCGTTTCCCCATGTCGCCCGGAGTCATCGTTCCACTAGTATTGGGTCTACTATGCACCTTGTACGTATATGTTGGGCCAAACTCGACTGTCGGAATCTCTGAAGATTGCTCGGTTCTGTCCTTGTTCCAAGTGTCTAGCTTGCTTGTACCGAACGCCCGCACCTGCTCCATGGCCATATTGGGGTCACCGACAGTCCTGAGCTTTCCACGCCGCTCGGACACCTTTTTCTCCTGCTGCTCTTCTTCCTTCTTCCGCTCCTCCATTGATGGCCGACCAGAGCTCGCATAATCTGGAGTGTCTGTCGAAACGATCGTGCTGGTGCGGTCGCTGGGATCGTTCAATACGCGTTCTAGCAGATCCTCGTTAACAAAAGTCGGATCAACAATAAAGCTGCTAGCTGAGCTTGTGGGTGAGCCAGGAGAGCCCGTGTCACGCACCTGATGTTCACCACGAGCAAGGGAGTTTTGGCCTTCCACTGGAACCTGTGGCAATTGCCGGTTTGGCAGCGGCTTTCGATTCACGTTTTGTGATGATCGATTATTGATCAAACCAGGCCGCTGTTCGTTCATGCTTGCTGCAGCGAGACTGTCGAGCGATGGCTTTTCTTGCGCGTCAAAGTACTCGCCATCAGTTGCATGGAATGGCGAGCCTGGTATCGATTCCAGACGATTCTGTCCAGCTCCGTGACTTTCGTTGGAAGCATAGCCCTGTGACTGGTTAGCAGGACCAAGGTGAGGATCACGAAAAGCAAGGGTCTGCTCGTGGCCTTGTGCGCCTGCATAGCCTCCCTCATCAGAACCGCGAACGGCGTCCTGCATCTGATGCAGAGTGGCGTCATCTACGTTCGACTGGGCGCGTCGAAGTTCATGTGGCATGTGCGGCTGCGTGGCAGGACGACCACGCGGGTTGTGCTGCAGCTCTGGAGGAGAAACCACGGGTTCTGGCGGAGGCAGGTAAGGCGAGCCAGCAGCAGCGACTTGCTCGTAAGGCGACTTGGTCAGTAGTCTGTCGTCGGACCGGACCTCTTCGATGGGACTCTGAGCCTCGCCAGTGTTCGCAGCAAGGACACCCCCATGCATTGGTGGCACCGGAGGCTGCTCGTTCTCGTCACGCCCACTCTGCTCATAAGACAGTCTCGAAGGCGTCTCGGTCATATACTTCCGATACCCATGTGCGTCAGATACAGAGCGCTTGTGGGGGCTTCCATTCAACGTTACAGGTGGCGCAGAGTCTGTACGCCTGGGCGGCTGCAGTGGGTCACCTCTTGTCGGAAGTGGAGAACCAGATCGCGAGCCGGGTGTCGAATGCGTGCCAGCCTGGTCCTGGAACTGCAGGACACTTCTTCCCGGAGGCAGTGAATTGCGGCTTGTGGTGTTGCGTCTGGGAGTCACGCCACGGGCTCCATTTTCGACCTCGGTGGCCATGCGAGTAGACGTGAGCTTCCTCATCTCTTTCCGCCACTGTCGCTCACTCCAATTCTGACTGCCTTTCTCGTGTATCAGGCCAGAGACGTCCAGAATGTCCAGATACCCGTAACGGCGGTCTTTCGGCATTGCGAACATCAAGCCCCGAGCGTCTAAAGTATCTGCGATAAGCCGGGACGGTCTGCCGTACAGTGCGAAAGTGTCGTACACAGGGAACAACCACCTGAGCATCATCTCAAAGCCGCTCACGGCAGCATGCACTTCTGGCATGACGAAGACGAAGCCTTCAGTAGTAGTCTCTTGACCTCCATGTATCGTGACCAGCCCCTCTAGCTTTACTAATGTAGATTGTTCTACCAGTGGCTTCGATTGTGGATAGATGGCGTATGCAGCATAGGCGTCGCTAATGGTGGCGATCGGTTTCGTCTTCTTCGTGATCTTCCTGGTATCGTAGAATTTGATGTCGCCCTTGGGCAATTCGGCGCGGCCATATGTACCACCCTTCTTCAGAGTCTTCTGGGACTTCTGCCACTCCTTCTCGTCTGGTGGAGAGATCACACACCAGCACCTCTGCCAGGGAGTGCCAGCTCCGAAGCGAACTCTGGCCCAGTCGTCGTAGGCAAATCGTGATCGTTCCATAATCTGCTTGATACCATTCAAGTATCGACCTTTGCCTGCAATCAAAGACCCCGTATAGGCTTCCTGCAGAGTCGAATGCTCGAACATGGCAAGGCGGATGCCTGCAGTCCATTGAGTCAGAGAATTCAGAGAATTAAAGTGCAACAAATAGCGATTGTTGGCTGCTGTCGACAAGCTGAGCACATTCTGAAGGCTACCACCAGCTGCGCCATTCATAGGAAGTGATTCGATCTGCACATGTCAGCCCAGTACACTGGCTCCTCTGCATCCAACTCACCATTTTGATCGAGGCGTCGCTGAGGTTGATGAAGGTTGGCACGACCTCGCCGTCCTCGCCCGCCGCGTCTAGTGCCGCAGCATCCCACAAGGACAACACCGTGCCCACGAGCTGCGCGAAGCACTCCGTCCACGTACGGTCTCGACTGGGTCTGCCACTAGAGTCCAAATCATGCAGTTTCAGAAAGTAACCTTCCTGATACAATTTGTTGCTGTGGCTGTTCAGGTAGCTGAATATAGGCGCGAGCTCGGGCGGCGTGTCAACCGCCAACTCCATTTGCGGCGGATTATACGTCTGAATCATGCTGTTGGGACGTGTGTTTGCCCTCGACTCTGCTCTTGCTCGCGACTGAGTGCTCGGCGAGTGTGGTGAGGCCTGGCCATGAGCGTCGGCTCGGTATCCGCGTATTGACTGCGAGGACGTTTCGGTATCGAGGTTGAGTTTGCGTGTCCGCTCCATCTCTGAAGGATCCCGCGAGGGAGGCGTCGCCTTTGCGTGTCGTCCTGGCAGCTCTTTCAAGTCGTCCGTGGTGGGAGATCGAGGTCCTCCACCCCATTGGGACATGAAGGACAATACTGCACAGGGTGGTCAGACTCTGCAAGGGACTTCGGCTGCCTGTCACGTTCTCGCCGCGGGTAGCGACTTCCAACATCGGCTGTGGTGCCGCAGCAGTGGCTCGGGACGGACGTACCTCTATTGCGAGGCATGCTGTACAACGCTCTGATCAACCTGTATGCTGGGACTTTTGGTGTACCACTTCCGCTCGTGCTGCAACAAAGCTGCACAGTTCCCTGGTCAATGAAGAAGGGTAGGTATGTCAGGTAGGTATGAAAGAAGTTCCAGGGCTGTACGCGGCGCCTCGTCCACGTCCGTCAAGCCCTCCTGCAGACAGCTGATAGACGCGTATGCCTGTCGGCGGGTCAGATGCGCTGATCTCCTCAGCTCGCGCAGTGAAAATTAAAGGATGTGGTTACGGAGGTTCTCTGGCGACAAGAACGAGAGTTAGAAGCTGGTTGTCGCAATAATGATGCCGTTGGCGGACGTTTGCAAAAGAGATGTGCTCGTACGGAGATATATATTTACGAGAATCGATTGATGACGCTCTGGTGCGAATTCAAGGTTGTTGGGCCGGCACTCCCGAGTGACCTGTCCGCTGTCCGTCCGATTGATTTATGATTTTTGTGGTTTGGTCACTTTGGTGTCGATGTTGGTGGGTTATGTTGGATACAGTAGGAGGTGGTGTGTTGTTCGCTGCAAGTGGACGGGTTGCAAGACGTGAGTGTTGGGTCAGCAGGGCGCAGCAGCCCGGGTTTCTATTGAATATACAGCACACATATGCAGCATCACCAACGCCGCTGACAAGAATCATGTTGCCAGCCGGAGCTTTCGTAAGCACAGACGAGTGCGGCGCCGCGCGCGCAACCAAGTGCTTGGCATCTCCAGACCTCGATTGCATTGTTGCCAATGGGGACCTGGGAGGCAGCTTGTGCATTGCGCGTTCTGGATTCAGCCTCATCTAGCTTGCGTCTAACTCATATATGTCGGAGCTCTGACCCGGTTGTGCATACTGTCTTTGCTGTCTCTCATGCACGAGTGCGCAAAGTCCACCTCCAACGCCCTCCACAATGGCAGCGGCTGGGCTACGGCCTACGGGCTGCCTGGTTCGTCTGCTTCTTCCACTAAGCGGGTATGTCCTTCCCTTCGGATCGCTAGATCGGATGTCCGTGAAGCCTCGGCGTACCTCCTACAATGTCGCTCGATCTACCTCCTACCTCCTACGGTCCTACCTCCTAGCGCCAACACTGCTGTCCGTTCGCCGCGGGCAACGGCTGGGAAAGGCTGTCTTGAGCCGACCGCAGTCAGACCTGCTGGCGTGAGACAGCCCATTCCATACATGTACATGTACTCCACAGACTCTGGATGGGATCATGATTACCTACTACATCTAGCGATGAAGCGGGAGGAGCCCACGGACTGATTGACGACGGCTTGTTTCTGTCGAGGGCAAGGACATTGTAGGTACAGTACCCCAGGTAGGTATAGGTCACAACGTCAACGTTAAGAGAAAGCACAGACGCAGGCCTGCCTTGTTGCTGCCTTGTCACAAAGCGAACGCGTCCAACACGTCTCTCACAGAGATTCACGCAGCGCGCCAGAGCTCTGACTTGGTACTCGCCATTGCACTTGCGTTTTTGTGGTTCCCATTCACCCAACCTTTGTACTATTGGCAATCATCGTCTCCTTCCTGTCCCCCTCTGGAATTACTCGCAATCAGGATATTACAGACTGCATACGCCCGCAACGCGCTGGCACGCACTGCCACTGCCACCTCGGATGCTATGGCACCGGCCAAAGCGACTGGCATAGCAAAGAAGAGTGCGACTAGGAACAAGAAACAGCCGCCTCTCGCACAACCGAAAGAGCTGCTTGAGGAAGATAGGGAACATCTCCGGCACTGGCTGTCCAGGACTGACAAGCCTTTTGGTGTCAAGGTCGCTGCGCTGACGCGAAAGCGCAAGCGGCAGGAAGAGATGCATGTGGAAGAGGGGCTGCTAGTACCCGATCTCAGGGTGCTGTACGCAGTCAAGCCTCGCGACAAGTGGGATAGCTTGAGGAAGTATAAAAAGTTCACAGGTGAAAGAGTTGGAAAGTGACTAGATCTGTGTATTCTAGTACTGATTCGTCATGTAGTTGGAACCGAAAGCATTGCGACTGGACAATGCATACTAGTCAAGCACGACGCCTCAACCGAGGATGTAAGGATGGCGTCTGAGACGCAGTGGAAGGCACAAGTGCTCGAAATTAGAGCCCTGGACAGTGAGCATGTTTTTATAAGAGTTGCATGGCTCAACAGGCCGGAGGATCTCACCTCAGGTCGGCTGCTACATCACGGCAAAAATGAGCTGATTGTGACCAATGAAATGGATGTGATCGATGCAATGTGTGTGAATGGCAGTCTCGAGGTTGTGGCATTAGATGATGAAGACGATGAGAGCGGGACTGTTGAGGATCAATACTTCTGGCGGCAGACATTCGATATAACAACCAAGAAATTCTCGGTAAAGTGAAGTAGAAAACGAGCATAAGCTTCCAATACTGATGCTCAAATAGGAATTACGGCAGATCTGCATTGACAAGAAGCCAGCAAACCCAGATGAGATGATAATCCAGTGCTCAAACACAGCTTGTCGAGAATGGCTACATGTCAAATGCATTGCTGAACAAGCGCTCAGAGACCATGAAAAAGGTCAACCACCATGTACTGCTCTTGTCCTATAAGCTACGCTAATCTTTCGCAGCTGCCCGACAAGGAGTTCACAACAGAGAGGCTTCTCGCGCCAAAGATGACAGCAACGAAGAGGCTGGCGCCACACCTGCAGTATTCACTTTGAACAAGAACAAGACCAAAGTGGAAGTCTATGTCAAAGGTGACCCTACTGGACCGGACGACGTACCTGCGACGAACTCAGAGATTGTTGTGATTCCAAGAGTTGGTCCAGCCTATGCACAAGACCTTGTATGTCTGATGTGCTCGGTGCCGCTTGCGGATGACATCTAAATGTGATGCCTGTTCATTGCTTGCAACGCAATGCCAACAGTCTCAATCTCAGTCTCTGATGATTCCTCCACGCTACTGCAGGAACGTGCACATCGCCATGAGCCGGCGGAGCCGTTCCTCTTGGTATATCTAGTTATGGACGGTATGCGAGTATTTCGCGCTTCTTGTCCTGCGCAAGACTACAAGCAGCATTAGCCTTCCTTACCGACGTGAGCTGGACGCTGATATTTGATGTTGTCTCTTGCTCGAAGCAGTAACACTGTGGGGGGGGCTATATGTGTGTGAGGCACTGTGTAGGTGTGCTTCGGTCGGCGATTTGGACCTTTCTCACTTATTTGACAAGACGCAGAGAAGTGACTACGAATCTACATCCTACCTTACTGATCCTAGCATCTGACCCGGCTGACCGCTCTCATCTTCATCGTGGCCGACTGGCGCTATCTTGGCAAGCTGGGCCGGCACGGGGCGTCGGCACGCGAGTGGGGGGCTCCCTTATGAGGGGCGGGGGCTCACTAGGTACCCTATGGTGTCTGTACTGCTGAAAGGTGAAGAATCTCGATGGTTACGCCATATCGATACCCTCCCCCACCCATACTGTATATATATCTGATACTCGTAACTCTCCACTCCACGAGGGCCGGGCATCTACGCGCCCGATGTCCGTCATCTTGATTAAAGCGAAACTGCGCGCTTGTTTGGCATTGGAATACACCCCTGCTCTGGACCAGCACGAAATGAGAGCGGCTAAATTGTAGGCTGCTGAGGTGTACATCCCGCCCTTGACCCTATCTCCACTTCGAGGCCGCAATGCTCAGAGTGGTTAAGTGCAGGAACCATTCACTGTGAGACTTAAGAGTGATGTATGTGAATGACTTGCGGCTCGAGCTGGTATATGCAGGTAACGATGCAAGTTATAGGAGGAGGGGGAAGTCGTACAGCAGCGTCTATATACCTTATGTATATCAGTACCTATCTAGGGACGTAGGTTGTGCAACTATTGCTGCAGTCGGGACTCTGCACTCTGGAGAAGAACTATACCGTATGCAGAAGAAGCATCTACAGTACAGTATGACAGCGTGCTCATGGCGCATGCCCGCGTGGGAGGGCGCTCTCTCTCTGAGACATGTTACATTACTGGCTCGACTCATTTCCCGGTCGTGCTGCTTGTCTCATCATAGAGAATAATCAGATGAGCACCTGCTCACAGGATCTTCAGCAGACGAGCAGGCAACGCGGAGCTTGTCGTTAATTAATCTATCCTGCTCTTGTGCCTGGTAAAATTTTAGTAGGAGGTATAGCGCGTGCGTCCCTGGACCTGCATGATAGAACTAGCCCCATGCACGAGCTGCACTGGGCAGCAGGCCATTGGAGCTAGCCATGCTTTGGGTGTTGATGAACGATTCCGGCGATTCATGTTCATACATGTAGACGGTGCAAGTACCTAGTGAAGCAAAGGACTCTTATTGTTGGTTCCTCTTGAGCTTCCTTTCACGACTACTTACCACCTGACCTACCTGTACCTTACCTACCTTACCTAACTCTTGCATCGACGTCGGCGACATCGCAGCGCCAGGCCTGTTCATATTATTTTCGCACGTGCCTGCTTGTCGGTCCTTACCGTTGTGGAACCTACTTACCTTACGAGGTATATCGTCCAGCACCCTGTCGTTCGTCATTCCGTCGGGTGTTCCTGAGAGATCACACCTTAGCTGCTTGGGAGCCCCGAGAGCTTCACATACTACATACCTTTTACTCCCTGGCCACCCGCGGGTCCACGACCTGACGACAACCATCGCTTCCCCATGGCAGACGTCAACGGCGCAAAGGTCAATGGGGACATGGAAGGCCCCGCCGCTGCCCAAACCCTAGGCACGAACAATGATGGAGAACAACCGCTTAGCAATGGCGAGCAGCCTGTCGCACAATCGGACTCGCAGCCTGCCAACACGCAGCCTACAGAAGCGCAGGGTGTGTCAGGAACAAGTACAGAGCAGAGAGGGGCAGGCGCCGTGCCAGCGATAGACCAGCGCGCTGCTGCGTCCACGGAGCCAGACTCGCGGCCTGCTGTATTGATCATCGGCGGTCTCGGTATGGAAATCGACGCATTGTGCTATTTCCATGTGTACTAATGGGGATGGACAGGATATGTTGGACGCTATCTTGCTACTTACATTCACTCCAACAAGCTCGCTTCGACTCTGCGGCTGGTTGATAAACAGCTACCCCAATTAGCATCCCTCGCACCAGAACATCAAGCAGCTTGCTCAGAGGCCAACTTCCTCCAATCCGATGCGTCACGGGTCCAATCACAAGATCGAATATTCAATCTACCAGCAGGACCGGACGGCGCGAAACGAGAATTTGACTATGTCTTCAACTGTGGAGGTGAGACCAGGTTCTCGCAGGAAGATGAGGTCTACAAACTTCGAAGCTATCAGTTGAGCTTAACCGTGGGCAAAGAGGCGGCGAGAAGAGGCGTGAAAGCGTTTGTGGAGTGCAGCACTGGCACAGTATACAACTCTAGCAAAACACCTCTGAAAGAGACGGACAAGACTAGCAAACCGCATACGAAGCAGGCGAAGTGGAAACTACAGGCGGAAGAAGAGTTGGCCAAGATTCCGGGTCTCAAGCTGATAGTGCTACGATTTCCCAACATATATGGTCCATATGGCGGACGAGGTTGGCTAGGAACACAGCTCGCCCTTGCTAGAGTCTACCAGAGTCGCGAGAAGGAGACGATGAAGTGGCTCTGGAACAGCGAGCTACGGACCAACACTCTACACGTTGAAGACGCCTCCCGCGCATGCTGGCTCGCAGCCGACTGGCGCTCACGTAACGACTCGATCCCTGGTACGCAAGGCGATAGTCGAGGTACAATGGTCTTCAACGTCGTAGATAGGGGCCAGACGAAACAGGGCACCATGGCGCAAATCATCAAAGACATTTTTGGGATTGATACTGGCTTTCAGAATGCTCTGGTGAACACATTTGCCCGGCTGAACTTGGAGCATGTGGTAGACGATGTCAACGACGATACTCTGGATGACTGGGCGGACTTGCAGGAAGCTTCGGGCATTGCTGATAAGGGTGGTCCATTGAGCCCATTTATGGAGAAGGAGATACTGAGGGACGCAGATCTGAGTATCGATGGTAGTCGTTTCGAGACAGTGGTCGGCTTCAGGTGAGTGGCTTCTCTTCTCATTGAGCATCCAGAAGTGGCAGATGTGCTAACATGGTGACCACAGACCGCAACATGAACGAATCACCACGGAAGAGGTTGAAGCTGTTATAGAAAGCTATAAAAAGATGGGATGGTGGCCGTGACATGCGCCGTGTGGCGGCATTCGATGGTTAGCGTACATGATTGTGAACGGCCGGTTGTGATATCCCCCCAAGGCTGCTTCTGTCTCTCTCTCTCTCTCTTTCTTCTTCGTACCTAGCATAGCGTGAGAGAATTGAAGTAATGTGTGTACAGAGCCGGTAGAGCAATCTGCTGATGCTATTACCGCGGCCCTTTCCCCCCTCCCTCCCTCTCTTCCTCTCTTCCTCTCTCCCTCCCCCTTGCACAATACACCATTTCACTGCCGAGGGTAAGATTACCTTGGGTAATACCTTGAGTAACGGCACCTTAGAGAGGGTTCGGCTGTTAGGTTGAACTTTGCTCAGAGAACAGGCCTTCATGATGAATTTCCTTCGGGCAAGGGGTGGTCTGGCGCTGACGCTGTGTTTGGGTGTCTTTTCGGCTGAACAATCATCCGAGGCGTACCGGGACGGAATGCTCCGACGACTCTTTGCCTGACTTGGAGAAGACTTCAGCCTTTGCACACCACAAGCAGGCTCCCGGCTACACACAGCGACTTTTTCCCGTCCGCGATGGAATGACCGTGTTGCATTGGATGCGGCATGCACAGGCGACACCATGGCCTGTCTGCATGACACGGCCACATCCACTTGGCCGTGGGCGACCTCTCGGATGCTGTCAAGCTGTTCCACGTACATGTTCTGTACCTAGTCACGCAGTACGATGTCCATGGTATGCCAGCCACTGGCGTGGTACCGCAGGCCAGGTTTGAGACCTCCGCCGTTCGTACAAGTTCGCGGAATTCCAGATGGCGGGAGATGTGGGCTGCGCCCTCCCTCTCGCGCCTCCCAGCGTGCTGCTTGATGCGGGCATTCCTGAAATAGTGCTCATATCTACTGGTCGCCCTCTTCTCCCAAGCACATGGTGCAGCTCAGCCGCAGCTGCACGAGCTCCACGACTTATCCGCCAGGAGCTTAACAGGGGTTGGAATCCTTCACGATGCACGGTGCCCCTCCACACGGTAGGCATCAGAATACGCCATTGGTAGACAGAGGCCGCTTGCATTCACTACACTCGTAGATAGCACAGCCGTGCCCAGGTAGCTAACTTTGTTGACCCGTTTGGCTGTGCCTCCAGCAATCCCCCAAGGTGGTTATTTATACAAGAGAGAGAGCCTCCACCGCCGCCAGTCGATGTCTGCTTTCCGAACGATAGCTCTGGATCTTCAGTCAGCCGGCCAGCTCGTCCAGAAAGATTTCGGACCCTGGTCTCTTGTCTGTCCCTCCGAGAAAGACATGCGAAATGTTTCGACCTTCACCCTCGACCACATTCGCAATTCCAGAAGTTGCGACTCTTCTCCTTGATCAAGCTCATACCATGAATTCTGCTGGCCATGGAGGCATCCAAGCGCGACCGAGACCTTTGCCGAGAACCGCAATACGAAATTGCGAGATAACATGGCAACATGAATCCTCCCACGAAGGTCACCAGTCCTGCCCTTTTCCGAAGCTCTGCGCTGCATGTGACGGGCTGCCAGGACGGTTGTCCATAATGGGCGGCCTGAGGCGAAGCTATCCTCCAGCTTCACCGCCAGATCACGTGCTTCACCGGTGCGGGTCTTGAGGCCGCCTCAACCCATCTGTTGTGATTGCTCGCCCTCTTGGCTGTGTCGCTGCTGCTACTGGTCAATGGTATTACACCGTATGCGTACGTGCCTCGGACCTTCGATGCTGGCTCCATCACTTGGCTCGTCGCAAGCAGCTTCGTCAGTTGCCTTGATACGCCTGGGCGTCACGTGTTGTAGGTGTAGCTGCCCCCTTGAGGGCGTTCGCATTGCAAGTAATGCTTCGCCACCCTTCAAATACATGTAGGGTCAATTCACAACTTCCTCTTGCACTTACCAATGTCAAACTCACAACACCATCCTGCAACATTGTAAAGCGTCTTCTGCTGACTACGACTGCATCGCGGCTGAACACTTCAGGCCTTGTTGTGCACCAGCCACAGCGACATTGCCATGTCGAAACGTACTCGGTCCATGGAATCGTAAGTAACCATCGTTTATGTCTCCGTCGTCGACATCTGACCAGTCGCAAGGGAGGCCGGCTTGAATGGTTTCACCACACCTTCAACATGGTCCACACCGCTGTCAAGTGCACCACCATCATGCCAACACGAACTGGGCGACGCCAACCATAATAATGAGATGACTCATCCTCGTGCGAGAATGGAAGATGGTCACGACTTCTATGTTCCTGACGCGGACTGCCCGGAGAGCATTGACGCCTGGGCGGCCGGACTCTGGCGACTTGATGAGTGTACGACTTCTGTCTCTCCTTCCGCTATCCCATGAAGTCTTGCTTCGAATACGGTCCTCCCGGGATGTTTCCACGTATAAGATTTGTCCTCAGAGCGTGCTGACCGTCATCTCGCATAGTCAACCAAGCTTTTTTCGATAGGGACTTTACACTGTATGACAGCCAGGACTCCATTGCATCGTCAGACTCTCAGCAAGACACACCACTCGCACTACCCCACCAGCAGTCTTTAGCAACTGCACAGGCCCACATACTCCATGCACCGCCAATCACCGTCACGCCGCCTTCCTCGCAAGAAACTTCCACGACTTCTGCCCGGAGCATCAGCCCTCCCCAACGCCGACGACGGGCTGTGCGGCCTCGCCACCCCTGCAGCACTCTCGGCTGTAAGAAGACCTTCTCCCGAGCATCCGACTTGGATCGTCATCGCCGGAACGTCCATTGTGAAAGCAAAGAGTACTACGAATGCTGCAGCCATCGCTGCCTATACAGAACACGTCGAAAGGACAAGGTACAAGAGCATTGTCAAAAGGTGCACGCTCACACCCGAGGAACCGAAGTATTCACCGTTGTGCCCGATAATGATGACGATGATAATGATGTGTAACTCCAGTGTACACTCCCCGGCATCCAGTGCAAATCGACAGCCCAACGAAAACAGCTAGTTGTTGCTTCTATCGACAGTTCAAAACATCACGAGATTCAGACCTGCGAGCAGGCTATGGCGGCTACCTAGTACGAGGTTTAGCAGAGTTACCAGACAGGAATGGAGATTTCGCTTTTTCTTTCTTGTGCTTTGCAGGCGTTATTTGGATACGGATTGTCAGATGTGTGTGTGTGTGTGTGTGTGTGTGTGCGAACCGTTTATGCAAGCAAGTACACATACAGAGAGAGAGAGAGAGAGAAAGAGAGAGAGAAAGAGAGAGTGTGTGTAAGATACTACAGGTACCTCCTTTAATCACAGATCAGATTCAAGCTTTGTCATTTCATGTGCTGCATACATCCCAAAATATTTGGCTCTGGCTCCTCGCTGCGTCGCTGCTACAGTTTCGCATCACAACGGATACGAACAAATGGGGCGCATTCCAGCCACCTGATCAATCAAGAAGAAGAAGACGAAGAAGTGCCATTCTTCTTGAAGTGTAAGGAAAAGCGGGCGGGCGGGCGGCTAGGAGGCAAGCTGTAAGTAGGTAGGTAAGGTACATGTAGGAGGTAATGATTCAGGAGGAAACACCCGCAGTCCCCGAGAACAGAAAAGAAATATCAATAAAACGTGTGTGTTTGGGAAAAGTCAGTTGGAGTTGCGTTTCCGAGAATGGGATTGGTTGATTATCAAAAAAACTACGCTTGGCGTCACTAGTCAAACTGCACTTCACTGCTACTAATGTACACCTGCGACTCTTGCTTACGACCAACCAACCCCTTTTTTTTCTTATCGCTGGAGAAAAGGAAAAATAAACAAGAACAAGAAGAAGAAGAAGAAGAAGAAGAAGAAAAAGGGCCATTGCACCGACTGACTACTAGTCATTCGTTCCACTAGGTACCTTACTAGGTACTTAGGTAGTAGGTATGCAACGACCCGCTAGGCGTCCCTCGTAACACACAGGCACACACGCACCAACACAATAGAACGACAACAAGAACAACATCTCTCCGGATAACTGCATAAGAGACAGGGGAGAAAAAAAAAGAGGGAGAAAAAAAAAAATAAACAGAAGTAATACAAAGAGCTACTCACACGACTACGAACGCAACAAGTTTTTTTTGGGGAAGGGGGAAAAATATGCAGCTTCCCGCGTACGTATCTCTCTTTCTTTGGCGGGAACCTTCACTCTACTCTACTCTACACTACTCCACAACCACAACTACTCTCCTACTAGTTTTCTTATACGAGATTTCATAAGTCTTTCCTTGACGAATGGGGCTTTTGCCGTATTAGGAAGAGTAAGTAAGTAAAAGTAGGTAGATAAGTAAAAGTAGTGCTAGCTGCGCGCTATATCAGTGGTTAAGGCAAGCCACTTGGGACCTCCTGGAAACAGTTTGGCTTGGATGGTGGGGGAGGGAGTTATTTTTGATTTTTCCTTTTTTTCTCCGAGACATTTACTAACTTTTTGTCGTGTTATTTTGGAATGGAATAGGTGAATAGGTGAGTAGGTGATACGAACGCCTCTTTTTCTTTTTGGTATGTATGTGTGGGTGGGGGAGAGCGGTTGTGACTTTCTTTCCTTTTTTTCGTGTTATTTTTTGGGGTTTTCTTTTTTACTGATACTGCTAGGTAGTTACTGACTACTGACTACTACAGCTGTGGGCGTGACGAAGTCTGATACACGGCGTTGGATGTACCGAATGGGAAGCGACAGATGTTCTTGTAGCTCCGAAAGGGGGGGCAAGTTTTAAAAGGAGGGAGGGCCAAAGGTGCGATAAGAGAATGGTGTGGTGTGTCTGCTGCCGCCACACAGATGGGAAAAAAGTATGAAATGACTCTCTGGTCTCTTCTTCTTCTTCTTCCTTCTTCTTTTTTTGTTTCTTTCTTTTTTAGGGAACAACGCCTTTGTTCTACTGCTGCTGCTGCTGTTTCTTCTTCTATCTTTTTCATACCCCAGACGATCTTTCTTGTCTACGACTTACACCGACCTGCTTGAGCAGTTCGTGCGTTGATCGCACAATCCATTCCTTTCATCTCAACCATGTTCTCATCCTCCTCCTCCTTCCTCTCTTCTACACTCTTTTTCTCTTGCCTTGCACTCTTCAGCACCACAGGCTGGGCTGATTATGTGCTGCAAGATGACTACTTCGAAGCAGGCTTCTTCGATCAATTCGACTTCTTCGACCAACCCGATCCCACACATGGCTTTGTGAGCTACAAGACGTATGATGAATCCTGCGCTGCAAGTCTCATCACCAATACAACTTCCTCAGTATACATTGGCGTGGACAGCGAGAACATCTCGCCCTTTGGCCGAAACAGTGTTCGCATCACGAGCAAGAAAGCATATAATTCCGGACTGGTAGTTGTTGATATTCAACATATGCCTGGCGGGATTTGTGGAACATGGTACGTTTCGATCGATCGATGATTTCTTCTGCGCAGTCAACTAACCATCTCTCCCCTTTTCAGGCCAGCATTCTGGATGGTAGGCCCTAACTGGCCCCACGGTGGCGAAATCGATATTTTCGAAGGCGCCAACGACCAAACCACCAACGACGTCACCCTCCACACCGGACCCGGCTGCTCCATCACCAACAACGGCGGATTCTCCGGAAGTTTGAAATACACCAGCTGCGCCTCCAGCGGCACCAACAACCTGGGCTGCCAAATCGGGGCCACGAGCGAGAAAACCTTCGGAACGGGTTTCAACGCCAATGGGGGCGGAGTCTACGCGACGGAATGGACGAGCGAATACATCAGCGTGTGGTTCTTCCCGCGAGGAGAAATCCCCGCGGATGTGTTGAGTGCGTCACCCAAGCCGTCGACGTGGGGTACGCCGATTGCGAGGTTTGAAGGGGATTGTGATATGGCGTCGTCGTTTACCAATCAGCAATTGGTGTTTGATACGACGTTTTGTGGCGACTGGGCTGGTCAGGCGTGGTGGTCATCGTCGAGTTCGTGTGCGGCTTTGGCGCCGACGTGTGAAGAGTTTGTGGAATTGAATCCGAGTGCGTTTCAGGAGGCGTATTGGAGTGTCAATGCGTTGAAGGTGTATCAGGTGGAAGCAGCTGGAGGGTATGGTAGTCCTCCTCCTCCTCCTCCACCTCCTCCTTCGCAGCAGCCGTCGCCGAGTGCATATGTGCCCGTGACAAGCGCGGCGGCGCCGGTGGTGACGCCATATACTCCTGCGCCTTCGGTGGTGCAGACGACGTTTGCGATTTACACGACGACGGCTCCGAACAGAGGGAATGCGCCTATGGTGGTGGTGGTGGTGGGGGAGGAAAGTGATGGGAGTATCGGATTTCAGGCGGGCGTGGACGCCGCAAACACAGCACAGAGTCCGGCTGAGACGGGCACCGGGAGTGCAGCTGTGGTGGGAGTTGGCGGTGTGGTTGGACTTGGACTTGGACTTGGAGGGGGAGGAGGAGCATCGCTGGCTGCACCTCCTCCGCCCGCGGAAACACAAGCTGGGAGTGGCTGGTTCACAACCAATTCTGACGGGACGGTTGGGCTCAGTGGACTAGGGAAACGCCACAGACATGCTAGGCACTTGACGCAGCACAAGGGTCAGTTGGGGAGGAGGATTTGATGATTATGATGATGGTTTCTTGGATATGGCTTGGCAGTCCCACTAACGTTAGCTAAAAGTTATGCTCTTTCTCTCTCTCCCTTTCTGTATTTCTTTACGCATTGCACGTAGCGTCTCAAGCTCCACACATGCCTTGTTTGCTACTCGAGTTGGAAGCAATGACAACGACGATGCGCGAGGTTGATATCTAACTCTGGCATGCAGACGTGTGAGGTGGCTACTAGAATGATTCTTCTTCTGAGAATTGAATTTCTATATCTGAATAATGTTATTTTGCAAACCAGAGCATAGTTAAAATATCATCATTCTCCCATCCTAGGACCTCTCACCTTCCCCATTGTCCCCCTTCTCCTCCTGCTCCTCCTCCTCACACTTAAGCACTAACAACAGTAGCACTATTATCCGCACAAGAAAACGCCGTCCCGACCTTCCCTGCGCGAAACTGATCCGCAATATTCGAAATATTCGCATACGTGCCCCCGATGGACAACAACAGTCCCAACAACAACATCGCCACGTGCGCCCACCACAGCCCTTGCTCCTTCCACGTCCCCGTGCGATACCCCGGATGAATCGAAAACCACAGCAGAGGCGGTAACACCACTCCCAAGGGGCCAAAGCCCATACTTCCAATCAAACTCACCAGAGACGTGTAAAATGGTATTGCGACTGCAAGCAACCATCCGACAAAGCCACAACTCACGGTACATGCGATCCAGACGATCCAATGGGTGGCAGTATTTTCCGTCAAATGGCGTGTCCCACGGAGAATTCGCACGAAGACGGTCTTGGCGGGGACGTGAACACAGATCATTCCGACGGCGCACAAGCCTGGTAGAGCGACGGCGTAGGCCGCAATTTTGATCGTGGGGCCCGCGGAGCCCAGGGCGGGGGATGTAACGTATTTCCCTGCGTAGGCGTACATGACGGTGGCGAGGGAGAGGTAGGCGGTGTTGACAAACGTGGCACTGACGTAGAGGGCGCGGAAAAAGTCTTGCGGGCGGCGCATTTCGCTCATGACGGGGATGTAGCCGCAAGTGTTGGAGGAGGAGGCGTAGATGGCGATTGCTCCCGCCCATGCTTGCGCGAAGGTGGTACCGGGCGGTGGGCCGGGTTGGAAGCCGAGGTCGAAGGGGCCCGTTTGGGGGGCGTAGGCGGGTCGAGAGCGGATGGCGACAGCGACAACGACCATGAGGACGGAGACGAGGGCGGAGACGAAGCCGATCCAGAGGATGATGCCTAGGCCGTGGATTTTGCGGATGCTGCCTGTGGCGATGGAGACGAGCATGGCGATAACGTTGACTGGGAGAGGACTGTTAGTGGAAGGGAGGAGGAGAACTTGAGAAGGATATGGACTTACAAGCCACGGTACAAGTTCCATGCTTCGTGACAGCATTCAAAGCAGTTCCGATAGCCAACACCGCCAAGCCAATACACAACAGCCAACTCATCAGGTATAGTACCTCCGCGATGAACTTTGCAAATTTGCTCCAGAATTTACTCTTGCTGAGATCCAACACTGCAATCTCAGCTCCATCAATAATCGTATGCATCTTCGGATGCGCCAACTTGAAATTGCCTTGGATGATGGCAGAATATGTATTCACCAATCCCCAAAAGACGATGAATAAGGGAGACATGACTCCTCCGAGGTAGTACATTGCAGAAGGCATGGAAAGGACTCCAGTGGCAAAGGTCTGTTTCATGAGAAACATAGAGGCGCGGATCCAGCCTACAGTGCGGAAGTTGACTTTGCCCTCGCCTGTCGCGCCAAAGACTTCACTTTCTTCTGCATCGTCTCCTGCTTTGCCGTGAGAGGAACAGCGGTCATCTTGTTCCTTCTTCTCAGTGACCGTGTATTTGTCTGGGTGCTTGAGCGACTCGGTGGTTCCAGCTGAAAAGTCTACAGCAGCGATGGTGCTGTCTGGTGGAGATTTATCGGAAGAGGTTCGGATGGCGTGCTTTTCGTCTGCCATCTTAGCGTCGACGATGGCAAAAGAGGGAGAGAATAACAAGTGCAGCTGCGATCAGCATACTCGAACAATCGCTACTGTTTGGACGAGTATTTAGAACGACAGCTGAGCTCCAAGAGCTGTCGCTCCATTACTGACCGGGGTGGCCGTCGGCGAGATAGTGGTATGGCCCGTATGGGGGAAGACCCTGGTTACGATGTTGATAGGGCAGAATCCATTTCATCTCATCTTGTTGGGCTCTGCCACGCCCACGATTGCCCCCGACGTGGATGTGTTGTATTATGTTACTGCTGTCGCTTTATCTGTACCGCAAGCAGGTCCGGAAGCGCGCGTCTAAGGTGAACAAGCCCCTTCCATGGCGATCAGATACTTTCTTATCAGTGTCAACCAAACACCACCAAATCTTTCGTACAGCGGCAGTCGCAACACCGATGGTTGGATAAAGATACCCCGAGGTTGCAAGATAGCAAGACCCGCCAGTTTGGAATGACCTGAGAACTGTCTTCCCACGTGGAGTGGTTCCGTTGCCTTATCGCGTGCGTGCCATGTCGCATGGGTTCTGCGATGAAGCCATTGTACTCACGATCTCATCCTAACAACCGGAACCGCACTACTATTCATGTCGTCAAGTGGCTTCGCCTGCGTACTCTCATGCATGTCATGCTTCAAGCACGGTAATGTCTCCAGACAAACGGAGAGTGGTCTCCTTATTAAATGGGACAAAGTTGCCAAAGACGGATCGTTGTGACAGGGTGCAGAGTCAAAATCTAGCGCCCGATGAAGAAGAAAATGCTTGTACGGTCTTCTTGGCGTCGCATCAGGCTCAGCGGAATGGAGGGGGTGATACGTTGTGCCAAAGGACACCAACAGGGGGAAAAATCTGTAACATGCCGACAATGGTCAATCGGCTGAAATCCAAAGAGTCCTCTCCGGCCTGAGCGGGAGGACTGCCAGCCTGCGCGGCCTCCACAATATGCATATATCATCCCAGTCAGAGTAGCCCATCCGCCCAGTCGTCGACTCGTCGGTGCGAATCTCCTACTGCGCAGGGAGGACTCGCAGTTGGTAATTGTTCTTTGGGGGACAGTCCGCGACTGGTACTCGGTCTGCATTTCCTACCTTGACGCACGCAAAACAATTCACATATGTGCACACATGACAGATCGTCAATAGCATGCGAGCTCTGCGGCCAAGGCGCAGTGACCGGTATGCATGTGTCTGAGGTTACGAGAGAATCCGACTCCACAGTTTCATCATCCTGTGAAAGGAACGGCATTAATATCCAGGACTTACGGCCGACAGTCCCAGACCACAAGAGGTATCTAAATCTGTGTACACATGTCAGTGTGTGCGTCTCGCCAGGGTTTGTGCCTCGAAGGATATGTGTAGAATAGTGATATCAGACACCTGGTTGTAAGCACCGACGACAGGACCTCGGCGAGCATTTGTCGATGCTCTTGGAAGTATGTCTCCTGTCATGCCTTTTCCGGCTCTTCCTAAAGCTTGTAGGTATGCTGTCTTTCGACAACTGATCATCATGTGATGGGGGAGGGGGATGGGGAGATGGAGAGAGAGGGCAACGTACCATAGTGCATGGGACAGCGTGGGCGTGATGATGGATGTCATCAACACGCGATTTGTGTGGTGATATGTGGTGAAGTTGAAGTAAATGTAGGTGGTAGTGAAGAGAAATTCAGCGGGCGGCGAAAAAGCGGGAGGCGCAGACAGCGCCAAGACCAGCAGAATGAGGCTCAGCAGGCCGGAGTCCGGTCCGCATGGCTGCAGGAAGAGTGGCATCACTGCCACTCACTGGGCCGGGGGCTGCGATATTATTAGAACGAAAGCCACCTTTCACTGTTTCACATCATACCCATCCGAAGCTATTTCTCGGCCTCGCTGCTGTTCCACGAGGCCAACCGTCGCCGCACAGTACGCGGTACACTTTCCAATCAATCCGTTGGTAAGCCAGATTCAATGTCGCGCGCCGCGCCTTTTCCTTTCATCCATGAGCATCACTTTCCTTTGTCAACGTGAAAGAAAAAGAGGAGGAGAAGAGGAAGAGAGTCTGCCTCTCCGGAAGTCCGCCACAATAAGAACACGATCACGAACTCGCCCTGGCAGACCCCAGCAATAGCAGCGGCGATTATTTGCCGGAGAAGGTGCGCGCGCGCAGATGAATGGCCCAATATGCCGTCCTGTCTCGCTCTCCTCCCATTGTCCGCAGTGCCAGCTGTGCTTTTGAGAGTGCCGGCATGCACACCACCTGCACTGCACCAGACATGGAAGCAGACACAGACAGAGGCAGACATCGACAGAAGCAGACAAGACAAAAGCAGAGACAGAGACAGAGAACAACTGGCTGACATTGGGACCTTGTCGCAGAAACGATGCGCATTTCAGGCACGATATGCACCGCCGTTACTCTGTCGCTGCTGAGAGGCGCGCAGTGTGAAGTGAATGCTGCCCCGCCTGCCGCCAGTGCGGGTCCCCATGTCTGCGCAGTAGGCTGTCCCTCTGTCCCTCTGCCCTCTGCCCAGCACCCTCCCATTAACGCCTTCCAGCTCGAACCCAAGGCCAAGGTTTCCGATGCCTGTGCCTCCTACTACGACCTCGACACCCTTAACAACAAACTCCATCCATACGTGCGGAACCTGGCAAATAACACCGACTTCTTCTCATATTACCGCCTGAACCTGTACAACAAAGTGTGCCCCTTCTGGAGCGATGACAACGGCTTGTGTGGGAATAGGGCGTGCGCGGTCATTACACTCGACAACGAGGAAGATGTGCCAGAGATATGGAGAGCCGCCGAGCTCAGCAAATTGGAAGGACCTAAAGCACCGCACCCGGGAAAGAAGCAGCAAAAAGAAAGGCCAAATCCCCTTATGGGCCAGCTGGGGGAGAGCGTGGGAGAGAGCTGTGTGGTGGAGTATGATGATGAGTGTGACGAAAGAGACTACTGCGTGCCAGAGGACGAGAGTGCTACCGCAAAGGGAGACTATGTGAGCTTAGTCGACAATCCGGAGCGATTTACAGGATACAGCGGAGAAGGTGCACACCAGGTTTGGGAGTCGATCTACCGGGAAAACTGCTTCTCGAAGCCTCCGAAGATCGATACTGCCATGACACAGTCCTCAAACTCGGTACCGGGCTTCTCTTCTCTAGACCAAGCACAAGCTGCACTGCAGCTCAAGGAGGTCATCAAGGCGGGACGCTCGGGAGATACGTATGGAGAATTCGAAGACGAATGCATCGAGAAGCGGGTCTTCTACCGAGTCATCTCGGGCATGCACGCCTCCATCTCGACCCATCTCTGCTATGACTACCTCAATCAACTGACTGGAGAGTGGGGTCCCAACCTCACCTGCTACAAAGAAAGGCTACACAACCGCCCAGAACGTATCTCCAACATCTACTTCAACTTCGCTCTCATGTCACGAGCAGTGGGTAAGCTCCGCGATTACGTCCAAGACTACGTCTTCTGCACCGGCGACCCCTCCCAAGACACCAAAACCAAGAAAATGATCACCACCTTGGCAAACGCAATTCCTCCAGGCCCCCAAATCTTCGACGAAAGCGTCATGTTTCAAGACCAGAGCCTCGACGGCCTCAGCTTGAAGGAAGACTTCCGAAATCGTTTCAGAAACGTTAGCAGAGTGATGGACTGTGTTGGATGCGACAAATGTCGTCTCTGGGGCAAAATTCAGACCAACGGTTTCGGCACTGCTCTCAAGGTCCTCTTCGAATTCGGCCACGAAGCGGAAGGTGAAGCAAAGCCTCTACTACGCCGGACCGAACTGGTGGCTTTGATAAATACACTGGATAAGATCAGTACAGCGTTGAAGCATCTCGATCACTTCAAAGCCATGGTCGAGGCTGAGAACCGGGGAGCTTCGGCATTGGAAGTGGAGAATACACCCATCCCTACTGCCATCTCAGCATCTTCATCATCTTCGTCTTCATCTGCGAATTTTGACGATCTTGAGTCTTTGGAGGAATTCTCATCCGATACGGAAACACCTCCTGGAAAAGCAGAACCCACCATATCCGAAATCTTCTGGGAAGAATGGGACAATGTATGGACTGCTTATAAATTCGTCCTCTGGAGTTGGTCACAAATCCCCATGATGCTGCCCACGATCGTGTGGAGTGAAGTCGGTCGTCTGGCGGATCTCTGGTTAGGGAGACCGATTCGAGACAGGGTGTGGGAGATTAAAGCTCCTACGCTGGAGAATGTTCGGGCGTGGAAGGGTGTAAGGGATGAGTTATAACGTTATAGATCAATGCTGTATATATATAAATGATGGTATACATCTTCTTACATTATGTTACATGGTGGGAGCGATTAGATGCGCTGGACGGCAACTATGTAATTGAGCCTGGTGATGAGTGAGATCAAGTGGAATCAGAGGACGAATCGCTCGAGATATGTAATACGGCAGACTATGAAAGCTGCTGTAAACTCTGGTCTTGGCGTTGGTTGTCCCGTACGAAGGCACGAGCCGCTGAGTCCTGATTTGGCAAGTGGGTCTCGTCACTTGAGCCGCACCTCGTCTCGTCGTCGATCACATGCCCATATTCCCACGCCCGCTGCACCTACGAACCACTCGTCCCTGGCCTCTTCTGGACTGTGCTGGTCTGAGCTGGAGCGCTAGAACTACAATATAGTACCTACCTGACCTATCGACCGACCGACCGATCGACCCAACCACCGCCGTACACACGAACATCGCCGTCGCCTCTCAAGACTGATTGCGTCCGGAGCACCTCACTTTGACTTCAACCTTTCACTCACCACCACCTCTACCACCACCACCAACATGTCCTCGCGCAAGAAGATCCTGCTCAAGGTCATCATCCTCGGCGACAGCGGAGTGGGCAAGACCAGCTTGATGAATCAATATGCATGTCCCTCCACTGCCGAGACTAGGTCAGGCAGGTTATGTCCATACACATCTCTAACATTCGTCATTCACAGGTCAACAAGAAGTTCTCCCAGTCCTACAAAGCCACCATCGGCGCCGACTTCCTCACCAAAGAAGTCCTCGTCGACGATCGCCTCGTGACTATGCAACTGTGGGACACGGCCGGCCAAGAACGTTTCCAATCCCTCGGCGTCGCGTTCTACAGAGGCGCAGATTGCTGCGTCCTCGTCTATGATGTCAACAACTCCAAGTCCTTCGACACCCTCGACTCGTGGAGAGACGAGTTCTTGATCCAAGCGAGTCCTATGGACCCCGAATCCTTTCCTTTTGTGGTCTTGGGTAACAAGGTGGATGTGGAGGAGAGTAAGAGGATGATTAGCACGAAGAGAGCGCAGGCGTTTTGTCAGCAAAAGGGCGGGATACCGTATTTCGAGACGAGTGCGAAGGATGCTGTGAATGTGGAGCAGGCTTTTGAGGGTGAGTCGTTCTCTTTCTCAGTGTGTGTGTGCGCGCGCCTCTGCGAGAAGGAGGCTGGGCAAAGGGAAACGACATGCTAACATCACGTCCACAACAGTGATTGCGAGAAATGCACTTGCGCAAGAAGAATCGCAAGACTTCAACGGGGATTTCCCTGAGACGATTCCTATCAACATTGGCGAGAATGAGCAGGGTTGTTCGTGCTAGTCGGGTAGATGTGAAATGATATCCTCCAAGAGACTCACGACCGGAGAAGTTGCATGAGGAGTGGCATCACAGGCGTTGTACGGCGCATACCCCTACAATTCTACGAGGGAGGAGGGATAGGCCTCTTGTTTGTTTTGTACATTACGCGAACTATCTTGAGACAGTTGCCAACTGAATACAGAAATCTTACAAACAGCTCTCCACCAGGTTGCGCGAGACTTGTCCATACGAAAATCCTGTCTCGGGCCGCTGGAGAGACTAAAGATCCGCGGAAGAGCAACTCCATCGGTACCTTATGCCCTTGGGTCTCATAGGACATGAAAATTGTGGTCGCTGACAGGTTATTGCTTCGGACTAGAGTTTGGATGAAGTCGGACCCTGCGTTATCCATTTGGCCTGATCCAGGGAGTTTTTGGTCTCTTCCACCATTTCTTTCACAATTTCTGCAGCCGTCTGTCCAGCTTTATTGACAGAGCCTGCCACAATTCCGATTGGTCTCAATGCAGCAGCATCCTCGATCTCATCCGTCAATTTGCCAGATTCATGCAGCTTGTCCAGCTCATGCACAAGTGGCACAATACCTCTCGAAGTGAGGTCTTTGATCTCCGCTTGCCGATTCACTTCCCAGTTGGTAAGGTAGGGATTCCTCAAGGATCGCAGAGGCCGCCCAGACCATACTGTCAGCTTCACCCAGTCGTCATACCCTGCAGCGATCACTTGCTTCTTGTAGTTCTCGGGCGCTTTCGACTCGACACTGGGAATGAAACGAGTGCCTACCCAGACTCCACTCGCACCAAGCATGAGAGCTGCCGCAACGCTTCTCCCATCGTTGATTCCACCTGCCGCCACCAGGGTGACGGGCTTCTTTGTCAACGGAGAGGTGTATTTCATGCAGATATCTGCGCAGGCCGGAATGAGAACCTGAGAGGAGGCGAATCGAAATATCAGCAGATCTTCATATGCATGGCAGGACAGTATTTTTTTGTTTGTGGATCAAGCTTACCATTGTTGGGATGTCCCCGGTGTGGCCTCCAGCCTCGCCGCCTTGTGCACAGATAATGTCTACGCCAGCTGCACAAGCTTTATGCACATGCTTCGGGTGGCCCACCATGTTCATGACCAGGATGTTTGCCTTGTGCAGCTTTTCAATCACCCAAGGCTGAGGAACACCCACTGCTGAGACAAACAGGGTAGCTCCGCTTTCTATCACGATATCGATGAGCTCTCCCAGTGTACCATGGGTGTAGTCGTACTATGGCGAATCAGCACAACAAATCCTAGATCAAAACTAGCCTTACCGTGGACAGGCCCTGAGCAGCAAAAGCAGATCACACTACTCAGTAGCGAAAATTCCGTAATAGATCCATGCTCACATTAGTTTTACGAGCACTGCCACCAACCTGCGGTAGCAGCAAATCCACGCCAAAAGGTGCTTGCTCGCAACCTCTGTCTTTCAATTCTTGCTTGAGCTCGGCGAGCATTTCTCTCAACATCTTTGGCGTGTACCGAGCTCCTCCGACTGTTCCAAAGCCGCCAGCGGCAGTAACTGCAGCGGCTAGCTTGGGTCCTGCAACCTGGTCCATTCCTGCTAGCATGATCGGATGCTGTACACCCAGCAGACTGGTCAAGGTAGTTGTAAGAGGTGCCATGGTGCTGTTTGAAGAGTGTTTCGATGGTTTTCTAAAGTGATGGAGAAGAGGACCTTTGCTTGCTCGATGAAGGCGTCACAAAGGTAGGTAAGTAAGTTACATTCGTTTCTATGCTGACGAGAGACGGACAGTGATCAGCGTTCGGCATACCGTTCTGGCGTGATGTTGCCAAAGCCGAGGCGTTTGCAAGATAGAGGTCAGGATAGTACTACACTGAGACTGACTGGAGGTTAGAGAGTAGCGGCCTGTTGTATGCCGAATCTAGCAGACCAGTCATACAGTGAGCCTCGGACAAGCTGGACTAGCTGGCAGACAGGACAGGTGATGTCGACGCTGCGAAGGAGCGATTATGATTGATTATTGGTGTTGTTGAATTCGGCCAAGCGACATACTGCGGCTGTTTTTAGTTCACTTGCGGCAATAACTTGGATGCGGGGTTTAACCGTTTAAGGGAGAGAAGCTTGGAGCAGCCAGGCACCTGTGCTTGTCAAAGGATCCTTCACGCCGCCAAGGCAACACTACCGCGAGTATATCAAACTCAAGGTATCAAGTATCATGAAACTTAGATACACCGCATGCATTCGCCCAGAGAATTCCACGCCTTCGTCGATACCTCCAGGCTCTTGTCGACGTCGCGCACCAGCTTGCCCCATGGGCTCCCCATCGGGAACGCAGGCAACAAACGGGTTCAGGCACACTGCTGGTCCTCGTCACCGCACCCCAGACCTTCACAGCAAACTTTACCTCCAGCGCAGCTGCCCCCCATTCCGACACAATGGTGGCAATGCATCTGAACTTCATTGTCGAGGTCTACGCAAACCATACTTCCACAGCATTCCTCCTGCATATCATCGCTGCATATCGCTGATTGGAGAAAATAAAAGTTAGCTGAGTGAACAATTCTTGAGTCAATCCAAAAGCCGGGGCCCAACGTACCGTTGTACTTGAGGCACTTTTCTTTTGCCGCGCGAGGCTGCAGGCCAAATAACACGGAATTTTCTTCGGCTGCTGGGAACCCCATCGTCAACGTGAAGAGGAGAGCTGGCGTGAAGGAGGAGAGCTTCATCTTGGCTGTAGTCGAATTGGGTAGGGACTTGATGGTGAGGGACTTGATGGTGAGGGACTTGATGGCGAGGGACTTGATGGTAAGCACATGGCACTTGCTCGGCCTTTATACATCATTCCCGTACCGAAGGTAGAGAGCTTCATGTTGATACGTAAAAGCCGCCTTGAGGGTGCCTCGAATGGCACAGCCCCCCGTCGGATCATATTTCGCAGGTTGACTTTGACAAACACGAGTTGCGATAAGATAGACTGTAGATACTCGTGTCATGCGGAGAACGGCAATGTGGGAATCCCTACCTAAGTCTTGATGTCGTTACCCCAGCCACCATTTTACTAATATCGAAGTCATGTCTAGTTTTACCTAGGAGGTACATGTACCTTGACAGCCGACTATTACCAACGAACCTCTAGTTAGTGTCCATGTTGGGTGATGTGATGCTTACACAGTTACACCCTTACACCCGCTTGCGGGTATGCATAAGGAACACGGCATACATACCGTATTTCTGCTGGTCGGATTCTCTCGCGCCTTGGCGGTAAGTCTTCATAATACGAGGACCTCCTAGGCAGGTAGGGTTGATAGATTCAATAGAGTTCCGGCTGTTGTAATACGCGTTGAAAGTTGAAACTGCTTCTTCAATACGAAGCGGATCGGTACCTACATGTACCTGGTTTAGTTTACTCCCAAAGCAAGAAATATATACCTAACTTCACTTTGTTGGATTTGCGAGCACGTGCTCGATTCCTGATCTCTAGAGATGAGTCTCGTCTGTTGTTCTGTCTCGACATACTATCTATAAGGCTTACACGCCGCTGGAAGCATCAGGGATAACAAAAAGAAATGCAAACATGATACAAAGTGTTGGTCACTTTCGAGATACATTCTCTGACAGGAATGACTACATCCAACAAAAACGAGTAGAACCAACAGGATAACCTGTAGCAAAGCTGTTTCTTGTCTACTTAAGACGCGTTGTAGACCACGGATTCTCGAATGGATCACCATCAGCACATCGTTCAAGCACTCATTGAAGCTTGAGGTTGAAAATAAGAGATTCTCACCTTTCCTCACTTGCCCAGCAGCAAACATGCTGCTCTCTACAATCTATAGCCTGCTCGCGATGCTACTTTGGCCGCTGGCTTTCACTCTTGCCACCGAAGCAGGCAACGATGGCCGCGCCGTAGCTTTTACGAACGACCTCGCTACCAGAGACGACGATGGACAAGAATTTGATTTTATCTTTACCTACGGCGATCAAGCGTCCGGCAAAGTCTGTCATGCGGCGTGAGTGACAAGGAAATCTCACAAAGCCTGTAGAACGTTTGGCTGAACTCACACGTTTGGTTCTTTTTAGAATTCGCATTCTTCTGTATGGGGACTTTTCAGTCAAACCGTAAGTATATCGATAGCCCCACGGCACTTGTGTGTTGGTGCCGCGAATGTCGCACCCGAGCTCCTTGCCATCATCTCTGCAGAACGCTCTCGACGCTGTGGAGCTAGCTGCTCTTTCAACGACACTTGCTGACCTCCGTTTTCCCCGCAACATCCAGGACTACCAATATTTACGTGAGCTGGGTTTACTGCGCGGCATCTGGCAATCTCCACGAAGGCAGAACCCGCGTCCTGACAGAGGATCAAGACTTGCCTATCGTAGACCTCATCTTCCAAGAACGCTACCGATTGTCCTCAGGCCCTCATTGGCGTTACCAGATCGTACTCAACCAAGACCAGATATATCCGTCTGGAGGTGGCGTAGAGTTTGGGATCCCAGAGATGCAACCACGCGCAGATATGATTTTGTCGGTGACTCGCCAAGGCCAATTTGTGGTGGATCACTTTTGCAACTTCTTCGGTGGAGGAATTCAAATGGCGCGTAGTGATGGATCTGAGTATAGGTCGAGGGGATTCGGTGAGTACGAACGGTAAACGAAGAAATCTTGTGCGAAGCATGACTGACATACCGAATTGTAGAACCTCTCCCTCATCCAGACCCAGGTCCATCTCGACGCGAGCCGCACCGTGACTATAACCCTGTCTGTCACAGAGCGACAGGGCATAGGCTGGTTACACATATCGGTACGCTATCACGTCGTTTCAATTGGTTTGTCTGGCAGGAATCACGACTGATATCTTCTTCTCGTGTAGGAGTCTGGCTCCTCTGTTTCAGCTTTTGCAAACCTCATCCCAAACGTGATGTGGAATTGTTGGGACTTAGTGAGACACGGAGCAGTCTACTTGAAGCCGAGGGTTGGAAGAGGGATCCACTGATGGGTGGATGGTATGAAGCGCCAGAAGGTACAGAGCACTTGCCGAGGAGTGTTATGGAGTTGGATCAGTGGGCTGAGGAGAGAGGTCTACAATTGTAGGGGTCAGGGAGAGCGAGAGAGAGGGATAATTTGGGGGGCACTAGACGAATATCGGCAGGAGTGAACGCTTATTCGAAGTCGTCACGGATTCAGGAGACATAATAGCCGTCCATGAACTTGTAATGCACTTGAATATAATGGAATGTCTATATGTACTTGGAAGTATCTAGTCCCAGTGGATGGATGTTCATGACAGACCAGCAAGGTATGTACTACAAGACGTCGGGGGCTAACGGATGCATCCGCCCATCTCCACTCTAGCCGCCGTCCCGAGAGCGAGAAACATGGAGTGCTGCAGTCGCGACAGCCACAGAATTCACAAGACAGCACAGCACAGAACCACAACAACACCAACCCACATCTCTCTCATTGGACACGCGCACCTCCAACAACCACCACTTCCACGGCTAACGGAATCCGAACGAGAGCCATAGCCCACGCCTGAAGGCACAAATCCCACGCGTCGCACACACCGCAAAGCCATCACCGTTCTTCCACGTCCCACCTACATACTCAATCAACATGGGCGATCGTCGAGGCGGCGGCCAGCGCAAAGTGCTTCTCCCACCCATCAACTTCATCTTCAAGCTTCTACAGCAACACAGCACAGTCCAGATCTGGCTCTACGAGCAGCTGGGTATCCGCATCGAGGGCAAGATTCGAGGTTTCGACGAATTCATGAACTTGGTGATTGATGATGCGGTGGAGGTGCAGCAATCTGCCAAGGGGGAGACAAACGAGGATTCGAAGGAAGGAAGGAGGGAGCTAGGTGAGCTTGAAAGCTGGAGTAGCTATAAATGAAAAAGTCGGGATGTGCTAACGTGATGCTGCAGGACAAATCTTGCTCAAGGGTGACAACGTGTGCCTCATTCAGAGCTTGTCATAAGCGGAGACGCAAGTGCACTGAAACGAGACGGGTATTGGATTCAGTGCAGCAATGAGAAATGGATCAGGCAGGTGGCATCTCGCAAGCTTTGCGGAGGAGACGATGAAGGGCGCACACAAAGTCTCAGAGCCACGAGGTCACGCGGACGAAGCGAGTCGAAAGAATGTCTGCGTGGAAGTAAGAAGCTGTAAGCGGTGAGTCGCCCTCAAGTCGCGCACTCAAGCTGAAAAAATGTAATGCTCATGGCGTGTTGTTCAAAGTCAGCAATGTGCCGTCTCCCACGGCGACAGCATCCACTTTCCAGTCCCATGGCTCCATTACAAGTGTTCCTTCTGGGACAATCTGCTCTGCTAGGCATAGTCCAACTGCGAGATGGTCAGCAGAAGCTTCCGAGGTGCATCAAAGCATCACTCACGCAGATATGGTCGCTCCCTTGAAGCGTCACCAAAGTGTGTCGTCAAGAATCTATCATAGAATCCAGCACCATGGCCCATCCTATTCAGTCGTTGGTCAAAGGAGACTGCTGGTACAATGATCACGTCGAGACCGCCTGCATCGTCGTTGCCTTCATCGCCATGTGCTAGCTCCCCGTCCGGACGAAAAGACAATCCTTTCCATCCCATGGCGTTTTCCCTCTCGTCTATGCCCGCTTGCTTCAACTTCGGTATTCCCCACGAGTCCCGTTCGAGCTCCCCGTACTCCTCTAATGACTCGATGCGCATCATGTCCATGACCTTGCGCTTTGGCTTTTCTGCGCCGACCGCGTAAATGTAGGGGACAAAGACGCTCTTCTGGTTCCAGAGCGCGTGCACAACCAGACTATCAGTTTGAGCTTCACCATGAGGCATAGAAAGGTAGATGCCAATCCTCCTCGCCGACTGGAAACGTGGTGAAGACAGTATGAGGTTTTGAGCTATCCGTGACTGAGCCATGACTTGTTGCTCGCTCAGGGCGGCCAGCCTTTCCTTCATTTGCGACCGCAGCTGCTTCTTCAAGTCCCTGGATGAGGAAGACATGGCAGCGCGGCTGGTCCGGTGGTGGGATGTTCTAGACAGTGTGTGGCTCGAAATTCGAGGTGTCATACACATGTATGTAATTGTACATGTACATGTAGCCAGTGCACGGGACATTGCCACAGGAAGGGGGCAAGAGCGACGCATACTGTAGCTCCATCACCACCACGACTGTGGCTTTTGTATGGATCTGATGACGCCGCTGCAGCGCTGGCCCAATGCAGATTGATCCTATGGAGCTCGACGATTTCCGATATGGACTTGTCGTTGGTGGAAAGGCCTTGGCGAGCTTCGCCCCGGGCAAGCAACTTCCGTTTGCAGACTAGTGCCACTGTACAGAGTATGGTGTGTGTGTGGCACCTCAGCCTCTCCTAAGTTAGTAACAGCCACGCCAGGACAACTTCCACACGCGCACGGGCGGTGACGACGACAGGGATCTTCTTCCTTCGATTCTTCCCAAGCACATGCAAACCGGCACTTTCTCACTCACTCCCTCACTCACTCCTTCACCCACGAGCTGCACCACACTCCCTTTCCTGTGCCGGCACCCACGCACCTGACCCATCACCACCATGCTCCGCATCCTCGCGCTGGCCGCAGCTGGACTGAGCGTCTTCACATCCACCACCGCCCAAACGCTCCCCGCCGACATAGTGGGAACATGGTCGTCCAAGTCCAACTCAACCTTGACTGGACCGGTATGCTCGCTCTCCGATCCTCCATTCCTATCGTGCGCCGCCACGTGCTGACACGTCCATCCTAGGGCTTCTACGACCCCATCAATGACAAGTTCATCGAACCCGCCCTGACCGGAATCTCGTACTCCTTCACCGCTGATGGCTACTACGAAGAAGCCTACTATCGCGCCATCGCGAATCCCACACGGCCGACCTGTCCCGGCGGGATCATGCAGTGGCAGCATGGATCGTGGCAGCAAAATGCAAACGGCTCGTTGAGCTTGACACCGATTGGCGTTGATGGAAGACAACTGATGAGCACACCTTGCGAGTACTCGCACGCCGTATACACGAGATACAACCAGAGCGAACAGTTCAAGGTATACCTTCCGTACCCATTAGAAGCGGAAGGAAATCATGCGCTGACATGGAGCATTTTAGCAATACCAAGTCCTCGTCGATCCATACCATAACATCAAGCGTCTCAACCTCTGGCAGTGGGACGGCACGCCGATGCAGCCCTTGTACATTGCTTTTGACCCTCCTCAGATGCTGCCTACCACGACCCTGCATGCGCAGGTCACTGCGAAAGAGACTGGGAAGAGCAAAAGAGGCTTGGACTCTTCGCCAGAAGTGCCGCTCAACTGGAAGAGCAAGTACGAGCAACACACAGGCTACATGGTGCAGCGCATCAACCCTGATCGACTATGGTGGATCGGACTTGGCTTCACCGGCATTGGAGGGCTGCTATACTTCGGGCCACGGCGACTTGGATTGCGACTTTAGGACATGTTATTTGCCTAGGCGTTATGGTTATGAATGGGGACAGGGTGTACAATATGCATTGAGGATGGATCCACCAGGCGCAGATATGAGCGCGCACAGTCCCAAGAGAGGCTACAGGATGTTTTAGACGGCAGTAACGAAGGTGTGAGATACGGTAGTAAACATGAATATCGACCGACTAGTGCGTGTTTGCTGAACGAATAGCAGACATAGAGACGCCCAGCCCAGTCTTGACGAATGAAAAAAGACACTTGGTGATACTTTACCTGTTCACTTCATTCTCGGAAACTGCCCTATTAGAGTAATTTGCCCTCCAGCCCTCGCGATCTGCCTCAAAAACCGACTCGCCTACCAAACTCATAGTACCGACCACTTCACTCCTCCCTCAAGTTCCTCTTCTGATCGGACTGTCAACTACAGTAGCTGCCCTACTTCTTTCAACAGGCTCTCTCCCCCATTTCTTGAAGTCACGGAATCACTTGCCGCGCAGATGTGGGGCAATCTTGTCCTTGCGAGATCTCACCCCAGCAGCGTCTTTCGAAGAAGTAGCGTCTTTTGCAAAGGATCTCGCCTCGTTGAGATCTCCCATGCCGACATGGAGGAAGGGATTGGGGGTTTTTGCAGGATTCAGCTCGTCGCTGTCTTGCTTGGTAGGTGGAGGTGCTGTGGCAGAAGGAATTGGAGTTGCAGCAGCAGCAGCGCCTGACTCTTGTTGCTTGCGGAGATGTGGTGGTAGTATATCACTGCCTACCTGTAGCAGGTCGGTCTTGGCGGATTTTGGATGGGCGCTGGTAGCTGCTGCTGCAGCTTTTCGCATGGCTTGGTTCATCATCTGCACTATGTCGGTGCTCTTCTGGGTACTTTTTGGAGGAGTTGGCGCATGAAGAAGCTGATCGGTCTCCAAACTCTTCTGTTTCAGCTGGGCCAACCTTCCTGTCGGAATCGAGGCTCCAGCGAAGAATCGTGATACAGTGGGAACCGGATGCTTCTTGAACTTCACGAGCATCTCGTAAAAGTCATCGTCGTAGCCGATACACTGTTGATACTCCCACCACAGGCGCAGACCTTGTTGCATATCTGACATGTTGTACGCATCGAGGAGAGCCCTGACTCCGTCTTCTCCGTAGAGGTTGTTGACTCTCATTGCCGAATCCTGCTCCCACTCCTGGAGCTCCAGAGCGTATTGGTCGAAAGCGGTCTTAACATGTCGCTCGAGACCGCCGCTGGAGCCCTGGGCAGTCGCAGCTGATTGGGGAGTGTTGCACGCAGAGTCTGTTGGCATGGGCCCTTTGTACTCTGGTTTCGGCCAGAAATGGGTCCTCATGCACCATGTTACCCATGGAGGACGGCCGACTCGAGCGAGCTGTTCGACATGGTGCCGACGCACAGACTCGGGGATGTGCTCCATCAGAGTGTCATATCCAATCTTATCTGAATATCGCAGCTGGCTGTATTGGCCAAGATATCGGTAGTTCCTGCCACGATCTGCACTCACGAAGACTGGCGTGTCTTTATAATTCTTCAGTTTGGGCGCTCTACCCTGGGAAACCGGAGTGTCGTTGAAGAATGTTGTCACTTTGGCACCGTGTTGGCCTGGTGCGCGAGGCATGAAAGGCTCATGTTCGAGTTCCACCAGCCAGTAGCCTTTGCTGGGGAGCATGCAGTCCTTGTTACTATTGAAATAATAGCCAGGGCACCATTCCTGTCCGCCGAAAAGGTCGGTCAGAAAGGTCCACGAGAACATCTCACCATGGGATCCTGCAGCTGTGGAAATGGTTGGCAAAGGGAGATTTCTGATGGCGAAAGGACACCATTCAGTCGAGATAGGAGCGGGATCAGGAGGATCTTCGTGCTCGGCATGCGGATCAGCTGCGATCTCCACGTCCTTGGGCTTCATGTGAACGCCCTGAACATGCTTGATCAGATCTTCTTCATTGGAGAACTGAATGTCACAGCAGGCATGACCGGCAGACGTTCCAAGCGGGCGCACTGGTGAGCCGCGCTTACTGTCCACCCGTTCTGGTTTCGCTTGGAAGTTCTCGATGTGCTCTAATATCACTTCCACCACTGCATCGTCGGTTTCGCAGATCAAGTGTCCTAAGGGGAGGTTGCGAAGATCTGGAGCGATCACCTCAACACGTCCTGGATGGATAGCTTTGGTTGCCTCATGTGGCTTTCCCGCGATTTGCTCATGATCTTTCACTTCGTCGTTCGTCTTCTCGAAGGTATGGTTCGGAAGGCATTCGCTCGGTGGCTTCTCTGGTGGCAAATCCTGCTCCGAGTGCTTGAGTAACGCTGGCGTCTGGTTTGGCTGTTGTACTTCTACGCGTTCGAGACGCTGCTCCAAATATCGCAGGTCGTTTTTGAAAGTATCTTTGATGTGCTGAAGCTCGTCGTCGTGCTCATCAATACGGTGATCGAGCTGCATGATACGATGGAGCTCAAACAGCTGACGCTCCATGTTGTGCATCCGTGCGGCATCCGAGGACATTTGCGGCGCAGGCTGAAGTGAAGATAGCTCATAGGACTGGAACAGCATACCTCCTAGTGGGGGATTCTGCAGCGACGAACGAAAGGCAGATCTATGCTGTGCCTGGAGGTGGGTCAAGTCGCTGTGTCGAGACTGATCGTAGCTGTCTGCTGCCAACTGATGGCCATGAAGAAGCCCTTCCTGGCCTGCTCGGCGGTACTCACTATCCATTGCGCCTCGTAACGCGACAGCGACCGAAGCGATAGTACAATGCTATGATGGTCGACGAGTGCTGCTTGATCTTTACACGCAGGGCTGAGATGAGGTGTCAGTGGTTGAGGTTGTGGAATGAGAGAAAGGAAGTTCCGAATGGCAGAATGGCTTCTTATAGTCCATTGGGCGGCCCCCAGTGCTGGTGACTCACGATATATACGTGAGGAACACAGTGAATTGGTTGAAATCTTCCGCTGATCGTCGGCTTGCGATGCTAGTCAACCAATGTGAGAAATTTAATGAGTGAGGCGCAGTCAATAAGTGAAATGAGTTCCGGGTGAAGCATTTGCGTTCATTAGGGAGCAGACGGACCGATGTGTTCAATGAGATGGCGTCAACAGTGAAGACAAACAATGACAAACAACAATAGGTGCCCATCAGGACCTTCTCACGGGGCCGAGCCGTCTTAGGGGGGCAGCAGATTTGTTGGGGTACATCTGCTCCGACTGCAGAGCTTGTTCAAAGGTCTTTACACCTAGCCATTGCGCCTCGATTGAGGCATGGAAGTTCGACCGCCTAACAATTGACGTGGCTCTCAACGTCGCAACTCGGGAGCGTCCCCCTGAATCCGAGCAATACAGACTAGGCCCAAGTATGAGCAAAAGCTTGAAAGCGTGTAAGATGGTATCTCAATTGGGCAGCATTTCTGCTAAGATGCAGAATCTTATAGTCTAGGGCTGAGTAGAACTTGATTCGCCAGCAGTGCTGTGCTACGCTTTGGGCGTTCAAGCACTTCGCCCGGGAGAGTCTTCATGAACTTGCTGTGCACCTCGTCGCTGCGGTTTGGCCGGCATTTGCTATTGTCCATGGCATTTGGAGCATGTATCGGGCATGGATCAGAGGAGAACGGGTAGACAACGGTTGCAAGAAGCAAGCCGAGTAGAGACCGAAGGAGTGTTCAGGTTGGGAGGCATGGGCGAGCTAAAAGGGAATGGGAAGAGATGAATTGTGGTGAGGGAAGGGAGGAGAGGGAGAGGGAGACGGGGCAAGGACGGGAAGGGCCGCGATAATTACGTCAGCCCAGAAAGCTCCAATGCTCTTCGCGTCCCCCGGCTAACACGAGAAAGCTCAGGTACTGTATGGACGTGAGCATTGCGTGAAACCTCTCGACACGTTCCACAATCGATCACCCTTTGCCTGCCATGACATACAGCTGCTGCTGTAGACTGCACGATACATATAGCATAATACGAAGATAACAATCCCAAGAGTACCAAAGCACCACCGGCACGACAGCGATTCACGATGCCGCCCAAAGCACCGCAGGACGCGAGATCCGACAACCTCACCATCAAGGAACGCCAGGTCGCTGCGGCAGCCCATGCACGCGCCAGCAAGCAAAAGGGACAGGCGTCGCAGCCACATGGGACGATGCGGTATGGAGATCTCCCTCGAATCAGCAACGGCACGGGTCCAGCGCCGCAGCCCGCAGCAGGAGTAAGTCGTCAAGGGGAACAATCTTGCTTTTGGTCAATTAGCTGACCCAACTGTTCCAGATGCAGTGGGAACAGATGCCGCGAACAGTACTCGAAGTCTACCGCGTAGCCCACAATCTCGACACGCCTGCTTCGTTCACATCCCCACGCAACCAGGCGCTCCTGACCAACCCTGGCATCGGGCGACATTCGCCGACTATGAGGAGGGCAAAACACCAGCAGCGTCAATCTGAAGTCAAGTTGGCAACTCAAGTACGAAAACATTTCAATGCTGCAGCGGTGAACGAGACGGAGGTTGTCGCTGGGATGCAGTACGTGGCGAAGAACAAAGGTACGCAACTCTTAGATATACCTTCTCGTCAGATCTTACTAACATCCACGACAGACAAAGCTTTCAAGCAAAAATCGACACCGAATGCCACCAAGAAATCGTAGCGCGATATTCCACAAATTAAACACGTTTCGACCGCGACAGACGCGAACCTGAGTTTTCAATCACCTACAGAGCCGCCGGTCACGCCCACTACGGCCGACTTCGACACTCAATCCTGTCCCGGAAAAAAAGCTTTTGGGGCGTTCTCTTGTTGCCGGGAAGAAAGCCTGGGACAATAGGTCTACAAAGACTGGCGTCAAGAGATGCAGTAGTTGAAAGCAGCCTCGTCGACGTCCTAGGAGAACGATGGCCGAGAGTGCAGAAGATACAACAGGAGCAGGAGGGAACTCCAACAGAGTCGCCCATGAGAATAATTCATCAAGAGTTGGTCGTTACTACGGAGCGACGAACGTTGGAAAGCCTGTACAATGCTCAGGCACCCCAATCCTGGCCATGTAACAAGACAACTGACATGGTACTACTTCACAGAGTGAGAGAAATGATGGATAGCCTTATGCAGAGAAGGAGGCCCTCTGGTGATGGCTAAACTATAGACTAATATTTAATCACGTGTGATCAACAGTATTCATACCTTACATTCCGATGGTGCTTCTCCCTTTTCAGAGCAAATTCCACCCACAACGTTTTCGGAGCGGCGAATGGCCATGCGGTGTGCTGGGGCTGAGCAGTTTGCTGCAGAGATACATGTAGGTCTGGCTTGAGCATCGCGGGTTCAGCGCATGTTTCCGCGCTCAATGGAGGGTACCATGGCATCATAGAAGGGAAATGTCCATTGCCAGGAAGCCAAATTCCCCGCAGATCAAATGTACCATAGGAACTTTACCCACTTGAGGTGACTGTCACAATAAGTCGAAGCGTAGGTGCCGCGGTCTAGAGAAGAAGGCTATAGATTGTAAAAGACAGGGATCATGCAGCCTTGGAAAGCCTCCAAGACTGACTTGAATGAATATATACGATAGTCAAGCCTGCTTAGTCATCGCGGCTATAGTGTAGTGGTTAGCATTTCGCCTTCCCACAGTTTTATACTGCAAACTAGGCGGAGACTCGGGTTCGGTAAGGTGTCACGACATTAAATGCTCTTGAACGTCAACTAATAGGCAATCAGAATCCCGATAGTCGCATAGATGTCTCTTCTCTTTTGGATTTGGTATGTCAAATCGAGAGGCCTTGCTTTTTGCTTTCCTACAGACCTGCCTTGAGGGTGAATACATGTAGTTCTATCAGAATGCGGGGAGCTTGCAGTGTACATTGAAATTCTACTTTTCTTGCCTTTTGCAAGGATCGAATCCTGAAGGAGGCAACGCTATCAAGAACTTGGAACATCACCTACTTTATTTTACTAGCTTCTTGCAATGCTGTATGTATACATCGGTTGATACCTGTCACTTCCAATTCTAATTTTGATACTATAGCTGCTGACTAAGCGGTCTGCTCCGTCTTCTACATGTAGCTTCCACTGCCCTGCTTCGATACAACTATTATTTCTCACACTGTATATGAATACCTAATAAACATGCTCATCTGCCCAATTTGACAAACTGGAATGGACATTGAGGTATAGATACGTGAGTCCTAAGCTACCTAGGAATTTAATCATTTCATCCATCCATCCATCAACACCTATGCGGATAGATGCAAGTTTCACTCTCGGCTGCTCCTCGGCGGCACTAGGTAGGCAGGTAATCACTCTGCTTGCTGAAGCTCTCGCCGATAACGATATAAGGTACCTACCTACGAACAGTTTGCTGGGTACAATCTTGTAAACTCTTTGCCATGCCGGCTTTGAATCGCGCTTACCTAGGTACGACAGCTGCTTGGTTGTATATTGGATTACGCTTCGCGCATCATGCAATGTAGTGCGCCGTTGCCAGGATATCACCTCACAGATACCACTGGCAAGACCTTGGCGAGGATAAAGCATACCTATAGCTGGCCCGTTCGATTACATGGTTGTATCATTTCTCCAAGAACGACGAGTACACGCCCCTATCTCGTTTCTGGATACGTTGGTGTATCTTTTGTCGTCAAGATGCTCTCTGCATTTGCTGCATTGTACTTGGTCGCGATTCTTGTCATATGGGCAATTATGGACGCTTCTCCTGTATGTAAGCAGAGGGAGGTGCATCGAAGAGGACGAGCGATATTTGCAGATACTTTTGGGACAAGATGTACTGACAAGCTCCCGTTGGCAGGTCCGTGAAGGCGTGTATAGGTATGAAGGTACGGATATGGAAATTTCAGCAACCAGCTTTATAATTCCGAGTCTTTGGCTAGGAAGTTAATGTGACTGCTGATTTTCATTCGATTTAAATGCAAGTGCCTAAAGCGACGGAGGTAGACTTGTAAGACCTTTCTTCCAGGCAAGGAAGGAGCCAGAGGCACGGTCCGAGCGCTGAACGAGTACGTTGAGCTTCTACTAAGCGGCACGTGCCCATGATCTGCTACACAGGCTTTGTGGTGTTATTGCCGGGGTTTCTGGGAGGTAGTGACTGCTCTGAACAGCCGCAGATCGAATCGCACTCAAGCACAGGCAGACTTGTACCGCGAGCAGAAGGAATAGATGCCAGAAACAGTCTGCCAGACTTCGCCAAGCCGCTGAGATCCTTCGGGACTTGGCAATGCTATTGGTATCAGCATTAGCTCTCTCCCCTCGAATCCCACGAGAGGTCCATTCGATCGTTCCAATATGGGTAATCGATAACCGTCGCGGCCGTCACGTACCGCGTACGACGTCCGGCAATCTTAAGCTTCTTGGATGTTCTCAACATGGGACGTCAGGTACTATATACCACTGATGTATGCACCAGTCTATTTTGTCAGTCCAAGCTCTTTGCGTAGACGACGGTATCGCCGTAGCCCGATGTTGAAGCCATCGGCCCTCAGAAGATCCACGGCTTTTTGGTCTGCGAGACAGAGGACGTGATATGTGTAGGCAACGCGACCGTGCAAGGCCTCTATATCGTTGTTTCGATCATAGCGTGGTAGGCGTTGTTTTTGAAGGCCCCACTCAGCAATTTTCCGTCGAAGGGTGCGAGGCGTGATCGCAACTCCATGAAGCGTAGCCAGTTGGCGAATGATGTCTGGTTGCGTGACACCGTCTGCGACCTGGCTAGTAATGAAGTCGCGCCAGGGGCGGTAGTCTGTCGGCGAGCGCGGCATGCGGCGCCTGATCTGATAGTGCAATCCCTTCTGCAACGACAGCGACAGTGACGGTATGATATGATGGACATGAAAGGAGTAAGTTACTTACCAGGTAGAACTGTCGTGTCGTCGTCTCGAATGTTCCACTCCAGTTCCCTCGTGGGTCTTGGCGCGTTCGCCGCTGTCACTCCCGAGAACTTTAAACTCACAAGCCTGGTCATTCGTTGTTCAATAACGCTGGCCACCTCACAATCACATTTTCATCAGCAACACCCATGGTATTGTAGCTCAAGCACCCTTCGCAATGAGCCTCTCGTCCCCAGCGCTGTTGCCCAAGGCTACAACGCCTCTGCGAATCCTCGCGACACGTCCTCCCACCACTACCACAAGTCGCTACGACCACCGTCGCCAAAAATGTCCGCATCAACGGACTTTCACAACAGCATCGTCATCCTCTTCACAACATCGTCGCCCACGAACACAATGCTATAACTCTTCTAATCACCAGCGGATACGCTCTTTTCACGTTTCGCCGATACGTGCAATCAAGGATCCTTACAATGCCCTCGGCGTCAACAAATCCGCTTCTGCGAGCGAAATCAAAAAAGCATATTATGGACTCGCGAAGAAATATCATCCCGACACGAATAAAGATCCTAAAGCGAAGGAGAAGTTTGCAGAAGCACAGTCTGCATATGAAATTTTGAGTGATGAGAAGAAGAAGGGAATGTACGATCAGTACGGCAGTGCGGCCTTCGATGCGAATGGGAACACAGGCGGGGATCCTGGGTTCTCTGGAGCTGGACCAGGCGGTATGGGCGGAAATCCTTTTGCAGGTGGGGGCAACCCTTTTGCAGGCTTTGGGGGAGGTGCACAGGGAGGTTTCGGAGCGGAGTTCAATTTTGAGGATCTGTTCTCGGCTTTCGGGGGAGGAGGAGCCAGAAGAGGGAGATCTAGGGGCTCGCCATTCCAAGAGGAGGTCATGGTTGGGGAGAGTATCGAGGTGCAGACCAACATCTCTTTTATGGATGCTGCAAAGGGCGTGCAAAAGGAAATTGTCATTACGCCCTTGGTGAAGTGCAAGACATGCTCTGGATCGGGTATGAAGAAGGGTACGACTCGGGGCACTTGTAAGACCTGTGATGGGACTGGGTCCCGAGTGCATTTCATGCAGGGTGGTTTCCAGATGGCTAGTACATGTGGCACGTGTGGCGGCACAGGACAGCAAGTGCCAAAGGGGAGCGAATGTGGGACTTGCAGAGGGAATGGTGCTACGCGAGAGAGAAAGACTGTCACAGTGGACATTCCAGGGGGCGTGGAGGACGGCATGCGATTACGAGTGATGGGTGAAGGAGACCATCCGGCGACTGGACAAGCTGCGAACCCTAATGCAAGGACGGAGAAAGGCGACCTATATGTCTTCATCCGTGTAGCACCTGATTCGAAATTCTCACGTAGCGGATCCGATGTTTTATACACAGCCAGCATACCTCTGACGACCGCCGTACTTGGTGGCGAGATCACAGTTCCAACCTTGGACGGCGATGTCAAAGTCAAGGTGGCGACCGGCACGGGTACTGGCGACAAGATCACCATGGGCGGTATGGGCATGAAGAAGCTCAATTCAAGACGCGAAGCCAAGGGAGATCTACGAATAGAGTTCAAGGTCCAAATGCCGAAGTACTTGTCTGTGAACCAAAGGACCATCCTTGAGATGCTGGCAGACGAAATGGGCGACAACTCTGCGAAGAGGATCATGAACTTGAACAACTTGAAATACGATCCGTCGAAGAAGGCCCAGCGCAGCTCGTCTGCTGATTCCAAGGCAGACAGTCACAAGGACGAGGGTGTATTCAAGAACCTTTGGCATAAGATTTCTGGTCAGCACGAAAACTTGGATAAGCCAGAGTCCGGGAGTGAGAAATCGAAAGAAGATGAGGATGCGAAGAAGAAGTCGTCCGGGTCGGGCTCGTAGCTGACGTAGTGCCTGACAACTGGACGGGTGCTCTACTCACTTTCTGCAGTCGGCTGTGCAGAACGTCGACCAACCAGAAGTTTGAAGACGTGTATAGATGGACTTTTGGACGGACTTGTACATGTATAGCAAATGTGTTCCGAGAGTGGTGATAAACAATGTACTCGCGAGTACGAGTGGTAGGGAGAGGCATAGAACAAAGTGTACAGTAGTGTTTGTCGCTGTCTCAATCGGACATCTCGACTCTGAGAGCATCGCTTTCGTCACTTCTACCAACTATGTACCTGGTAATGTCGAAGTGACTCCAAGGCGACTTTCGGCAGCGGTCCACGAACATGTCGACTCCATGTGTGATTGATTGCTAGGCGCCCTGGATGTGGTAGAAAGTGCGGGTATCTAGACATCTTCAGACCATCGTCTCTCAGGTAAGGTAAGTATGTTTCTGCCCATGTCTGCCGCGTTCTAACCGTGATACTTCTATTCGTCCTGCATGTCGTGGGCGCCTCCCGCGGAGCAATGAGGGCGGGCTCCCATCCGGCGCTTAGACAAGACAACACAAAAGGCGTCTCACCACCGCGACTGGATAAGTGCTTCGTGCTGAGATTCTTGTATTGCAGACTCAGCCTCGAGCGCGTCGCCGGCAGGAGTTGCCCTTGTCCGTACCTCCTCGATGGGTGGATCCTGAAGGAGCGATATATATGGGGAGCCGGCCGCAGAAAAGGCCAGTGGAGTTGGAGGAGGTACCTCCTACATGTACCTACATGTAGTGCTGAAGCTTGATCCACTAGAGCTGCTAGTCGATTCTCCAACGTCACACCCTCGAAGCCCAACCTCAAAACCAGAGTGACTACATTACCTGACATACAGCTACCTACGAACACCGCGTCACGTGGAAGAATACCGAGATCAAGAGCAGTGGCTGAAAAGGACGTTAGACAGGAAGGACATAGGGCGGAGAAGACGAGGCAGAGGTGCAAACAGGCACGGGAGCAGGCGAACACCGACTTGCTGGGTTCGAGGTTGTGTTGGGCTGTGAATGGGCGGGTGCCTGTGATGGCCACAGCGGGACAACGAGAAGAAACCTGATCACTCCGACACTGTGAGGCACGCGGCTTCCTGCTTAGGTACGGACAGATCTCGTGACCGGGCATCTTCTCGTCTATATTGAGGTCGCTCTGAGGGCAGCCGAGACATCATGTTACCCATCCGACCGGGCCTTTCGAGGCAACTCTCTGCCGCCGCCATGCAAGTCCCCATGATCTCATGTCCGCTCAAGCAGACGAACGAGATCGACTGGATCATTCCCATCAAACAGCACATCCGCTCCGCATATGCCGACGACCCTGAACAATACAACGATGAATGCGCCGCTCTCAACCGTCTGCGCCAGGACATGCGAGGGGCAGGGAAAGATAGTGCGGCGGGGAGAGACTTGCTATACAGATACTATGGCCAGTTGGAGCTGCTGGACCTCAGGTTCCCAGTCGACGAGAACCACATCAAAATCAGCTTCACCTGGTTCGATGCATTCACCCACAAGCCCACCAGTCAATACAGTCTGGCGTTCGAGAAGGCGAGCATCATCTTCAACATCTCCGCCGTACTGAGTTGTCACGCCGCGAACCAGAATCGACATGAGGATACAGGACTGAAGACGGCATACCATTCATTCCAGGCGAGTGCGGGCATGTTTACCTACATCAACGAGAACTTTCTGCATGCTCCCTCGACCGATCTGAGCAGGGACACCGTGAAGACGCTCATCAGCGTGATGCTGGCACAGGGCCAGGAAGTTTTTATTGAGAAGCAGGTGGTGGATAAGAAGAAACCAGGTCTGATTGCAAAGCTTGCAGCCCAAGCGGCATATCTGTATGCGCAGGCCGTGGAAGGGACTCAGGATAATGTGTCAAGGGCCATTTTCGAGCGGGTGTGGTTGCTCGTAGTGCAAATTAAACAGCACCATATTGCTAGCGTTGCACAGTACTATCAGGCCGTGGCGGACTATGAAGCCAATAGCTATGGGCAGGCAATCGGTCGATTGAATGCGGCACTCACAGCTAGCAAGGAGGCCAGTCGTCTTGCGAATGGCTTTCCAAGTAGTGCACCAGCGAATAGCAATCTTGCTTCGGAGACAGGTACCATTCTCTCAGACATGACGAAGAAGCAGCTTGCATCGATTCAAGAGCTGCTGGCCGAGTACAATCGGGACAATGACATGATCTATCATCAGCCAGTCCCTTCGGAGACCAACCTGCCCAGCATACCAAAGCTGCCCGCCGCAAAAGCCATTCCTGTCAGCGAGCTATACCAGGGTCAGGACATTCAACGAATCATCGGACCTGACATCTTTCAGAGAATTGTCCCCATGTCAGTCACGGAAAGCGCCAGCTTATACGACGAAGAGAAGGCAAAGGTGATCAGATCCGAGGCTGAACGAGTTGAAACGGCAGACGATGAGCTTGCAACATCGCTGGACTATCTGAAGCTACCCGGGAGTCTGAACATCCTGAAAGGTGCTGTGGACCAGGAGTCGATGAGTGTTGATGAGGACTTTCGGAATTGGTGCAGTGAGCTTGCAGGTCACCACCCATTTGGTCCGACATTCGACCACCTACGACAGGAGAAGCAGAGCATAATGTCTACGCTGGAGACGTGTGGGAAACAGCTTGACATGGAAGAGTCCGTTTGTGAGAAGATGCGAAGCAAATATGGAGCGGAGTGGACCCAGCAGCCCTCAAGTCGACTTACACAAACATTACGGCAAGATGCGAAGAGCTATCGTGCCGCCGTGGAGGAGGCATCCACGAGTGATGCACAGCTGTTCAGCACCTACCGCCAGTACGAGTCCGATATGGACGAGATGCGTTCTGCTGGTGAGACGGATGAGGCCGATGTGCTGTACCAGCGCGCCATGACCAAGGCAGGCGCTGGTAGGAAGGGCGTCACGAGTCCCAGCGTCATGGATGAGGGAAATCTGCTGGACGACGACTTCGAAGACGACTCGCGACAAAGTGTGGCCGAGCAGATTGAGCGTGTCGAGGCATTGATGCACAAGCTGCAGCTTGTGAAGCGAGAACGGACTCAAGTGCTGAAAGACCTCAAGGAAAAGGTATAATTCTGTCGTTTCTAGATTAATGACGAGTACAATGCTGACACAATGACGCAGATCCATAGCGATGACATTTCGAATGTGATCATGCTCAACAAAAAGGCCATTACGAGTCAAGAGAATGCGCTGTTCAAGGCCGAGCTGGAAAAGTTCCGGCCGCACCAGAACCGGATCTTGCAGGCTGTGCACAAGCAGTCATCATTGATGAAGGAGCTGACTCGTACGTACAGTGATCTTTTGCAAGACAAGCGAGTGCGTGGCGAACAGAACAAGTACGAGGCATTCTCGAGGCAGCGCAATTCTGTGCTGGGTAAATACAAGAAGGTATACCAGGCGTATAAAGACCTGCAGGCTGGGTTGTCCCGTGCACAGCAGTTCTATGACGAGATGCAAGAGACGGTTGATAGCTTGAAGAAGAATGTTGACTCGTTTGTCGAGAATCGCAGGTCAGAGGGTGGTCAGCTACTGGGCGTGATTGAGGCGGCAAAGGGCAGCGGACCTGAGCGGGAGCAAGCACGTATGAAAGAGTTGATGGAGCGTATGAGCATCAGTCCGAGCACTGCTCAGTCGTCTTCGCCTGTGCCGAATTTCGGCGATCCACGCAATACTGGTCATCGCCCTCCTCCGCTTCAGCAGCAGAGCTACACTACGCAACAGCCCACCTACAATCCAGCTGCAAGCCCACCCATCACACCTCGATACCAGCAGAATGGTGGTGGCATGCAATCACCAGCACCATATCCGTCGATTCACCGGCCACAGCAACAGCCGCAAGCAAATCAATACAATCCCAATCAGTACGGCACGATGTCGCCACCTGCACATCAGCAGTACTTTTCGCCTCCCCCGAATCAGCAGTATAACAGCAATAACAACAACTATCAGCAGCAGCAACCGGTGACGACGCAGTACAGCCAGCATCAGGCACAGCCGAGTTATGGCAGCCAGTCGATGCCGCAGGGTTGGCAGCCCCCGCCTCCACCACCTGGACCTCCACCGAACCAGGACTACAGTGCGATGCAAGCTAGTGGCTATCCGGCAGGACCGGGAGGATATGCTAGTCAAGATTTGAGGAGAAGTCAGCAGCAGCAGCAGCAAGCGAATGGGAACGCTGGCGATGATCCTTGGGCGGGACTGGCTGGATGGAAGTGAAAGGGAGGGAGAGGAAGGGTGAGGGCTGGTCGATCTGGGAGATGGGACGAATGGGGTCAAAATGTGGAAGAAAGCATGGCTCGGCGTTGTGAATACCTTGTATGCATCAGAGTGTTGTCGTTGTCTTGCAATTATTGTCGTCACGTTCTCTGCGATGCATGGATACGAAGGAATGGAATATGAAGGAATGGAAATGAGAAAGATGGGGGGAGGGGGGACTCTAGTATTTGTTGCATAGGTAGCATGTGGTGGTAGGTAGGTAAGGTAGGTAGGTAGGTAGAACTGGCCAGGGACCAAAAGAAACATAAGTGAAACATGCACAAATGGCCATCCATCCCGGTCTATTACTATTTAGTTACTTACTAGGTGGTATAAATGAGAGAGAGAGAGAGAGAGAGTGTGTGTGTGTGTGAGAGAGAGAGAGAGAGAGAGAGAGAGAGAGAGAGAGAGAGAGAGAGAGAGAGAGAGAGAGAGAGAGAGAGAGAGAGAGAGAGAGAGAGAGAGAGAGAGAGAGAGAGAGAGAGAGAGAGAGAGAGAGAGAGAGAGAGAGAGAGAGAGAGAGAGA